TTGCAAAACCTAAAAGACATTTGTCACTCATATCACTTGTGTCCTCATTTGCAGCTTTTGATTATTTGCAGACCCTCATTCACTTATATTCATCTGATCATTGACACCTGTGCTTCAGTCATCTACCGTTGTTTTTGTTGAGTTATGCGCCCTTGAATAATTCTTGAACTTTCAATTTTTGATATCTTTCAGTACAAAATCAGCACAAAAAATCAGTCCAGAATCTTGGAATTGTATAAATTGCTGCATTTGAAGCATATTTGATCACATCCATTAAATTTAAGTCCAGTCTGTGATAAATTTTTTGTCATTTCAATCTTTTTTGAGTTACATTAATTTAATAAATTAAATTAATTATCTGGCCTGCTAGGAATGAATGCATAAGTGCTACATTTGTATATGCAGTTTATAGAATATATTCAGTATTGTGGCTTTTGTCATGTGAATACATTATACATCAACATCATATTTTCAGAGTCAGCATCACTGTGGCAACAGAGCCAAAACACTACCCCAGGGGGCGACTCTGGGTCAGTGGGTAGAGCAGTCGTCTCCCAATCGGAGGGTTGGAGGTTTGAATCACGGTACCTGCAGGTCACATGTCAAAGTGTCCTTGGGCACGACACCGAACCCCCAAGTTGCCCCCGATGGTTAGAGCCATCGGTTGAGGTGGCACCGCAGATGGCTGCCTTGGTTCTGTACCAGAAACAAATTCCTTGTGTGTAACATACTTGGCCAAATAAAGGTGATTATCCTTATTCTTATCCTTTTCCCTGCAGTTTCCTCCAACACCTCCACCAAGCACTTCCATGCCAGCTGGAAGATGTAGTCTCTGAGGCTGCTCTGGTGTCTCTTGCAAGTCAGCTATATTCTCTATATAGCTCAAATGGACATCCCAACTGGTGTGGAGTTTTCCAAGATTTTATCTGATGTCATTTATGTTATAATATTTTGTTATTGCTTATACTTGAAGGTTGCATTAAAGTCGAACACCCAAGAAGCTAAAGTCATGGTTCATCTCGCTTCAGCACCATGATCTGTACAATGGCCAGATTACTGAAGCTAATGCATTTTTCTTATCTCACAATGGTTTATACCCTCATTTACTTCATAACCCAGTGTTAACAGAACAACATTCTCCAGACTGGCTGCCTTGGCTTGGATTGATACCATGCCTGTGGTTATCACAACCAAAGAATGAAACAATGCTCATCCTTTCATACATTCAACACACATTTTAGTGCTTTAAAACAGACTAGGACCAAAAGGCCTACAGCAAAGGGAAACACTAGCAGTGGCATTTTCCAAATCCTCAAAGCACCTAGAGTGCAGACTAATCCATGCACAGTGAAGAGGCATCAACTACAACTGCCCCAACAACAATCGTAGGGTTTCAGGATGTCTTACACTGTGTCACTGAGGAGCTTTGATTTACATCATGTGTATTCCTATAAACTCAGATATAGTTTTTTACAAACAGATGACTTCTGTTTTTACTTTTACTCTTTTGGTGAATATACTGTATGTATTTACCCATACAGCATATATGCATGTGAACTTTCCTTGATACATAGTGTACTGATACTGTTTTGTTTTGTTTGTCAAATGTAGTAGTCAGGTTCCTTTTTGCTGCATTAGCCTCAAAGCAATCAATATGTAAATAATATAGCAATTAAGAATTTACACTTATTTTGTGTAATTGTATTTACACATTTATATATTAGTGTACTTGTTTATGTCTTGTTTATTATTATTGTAGTATTAGTTTTGTTTGGCTAAAAAGTTGTTTAAATCATTTATATCTCATTTTACTGACAGTAATAATTCAGCTGACTGTAGCTAACTCATAGCAGACCTAGAGATCCTGTCAATGAGAGCGACAGACTGAAAAATGACTCTGCACCCTGATCTCAACTCTCAGCAGACGACAAAAACACTGCACATGAATCTATTTCAGTCCTGTCTGTACTCAGACTGAAAACTGAAGTCAACATTTCAGTGTAGCTGAAGCATATGCTACTGTATATAGCTGTATGGGATAGTATTTCTATTTTTAAATTAACTTATAGATGTATGTAGTGTATATATCTATGATGGATAATGACTATGATAACCCCAAAATGGAACATTTAACAAAAATTCTACATGGTGTAACTTTAGGTTGTTGCTCTACCACGCAGGACTTGCCTGAGAACCACAGAAAGCATGACAGCATGCAGGACGCTGCTTTTCAAAACAAAAGGCTCAGTTTGCCTCCACCATTTCCTCCAATTATGGGGACCCCTCCCCCGTGTAATGCTGACCTCTCCTCTGTGATGGGCCTCATTTTGTTCTACCCCTGCACTGACATTCCACAAGTTAGGTCAGTCATTTGGCCCCAAGAAATTAAGGTAAACTTAAGATGCTGTACTTCCCATCCTGTATCCTATATCACCTGGACTGTTCTATTTCTAAAGGTAATGATTCAAAATAGTTCATTACTTTTTAGCTATGTTTGAGTGTGTACGCAAAGAAGCTTTTATTTTATACAGTGTTGCTTTCTGTGGTCCCAAAACTTTGAATAGCATAAAAGTTTTCCAGTTCCATTTGTGGAAATTGCAGTAAACACATCAGTTATTTGGAAAAGAAATTTACAAAGTCACCCCATAAGTTGCATTATACTCCATAGCATGTTTAAATATTAATCACTTTTTTCTTGATTGGTCTACTTGCTGCTGCAGCTCTGTTAACCTACTTTACCAGCAGAATGAACAGGCTGCCCATAGATGTTTTTTTTCTTTAGTGTGTAACAGATCGGTGGCACATGGAACTGTGTTAGCAAATAAGAAAAAAAAGACAGGAAATGATCTCACTAACACTCACCATTTCTTTGATTGCTCCCATTTTCCAGTTACAAAATAGAGCAAGTAATGCCTGCTCCTGCTTTTTAGTCTGTCCCACAGTTCTGCTGACACACGGAGGCTGTTACATTGTAGATATCAGTGCTCTGCAGTTTCCACATGGTCTTCATTTCCCAAATATATGGGGTAACACTTTAAACAATAACAACAGGAGTCCTTGACTTCAAGTGCAGTGACATGATAAATGTCTTTAATTGTTACTCTCAGTATAAATTTTGAACCACACTATAAAAAACTTGATGTTTTTCTTTTACATCATATATAAGAAACAGTTTTAACCACAATTTGTTTAACATATTAGTACAGTTATAAGGTAATATGATAGAACAACACACTTAAGTGAAAAAAACACCCTGAAAAGAGAAACAGAAAATAAATCTCTAAGTAAGCAGCTGACACACAAGCCTTTCATTTATACATGTAATTACAGTCATCATAATTGTATTTCAACTGAATGTGAGATGAAGGGCCTGAAATCTTTTTTCAAAATCAGAGGACCGAATGCTGGCATGGCATGGATACAATACCCGAAGAAGTGTAGGATTAGGTCCTAGGAGGCCCTAAAATTAGAGGCTGAAGAAATACTTGTGTCAAGATATCCTGCCTGGGTGTGTTGGGACAAGTTCAAGACTATCTAGAAATATTTGAAATCCACACCAAAATGATGTCATCTTTGTGGCATTTATAAATATTTTTTTTGTAACTGGAATTAAACAAGTGGACATTGTATCTGATAACTACAGATTTATGAAAATGAATGAGGGCAGAAACAATGACAGACTTGTCAAATTATTTTGTCAAAATTGAGGAACTCACTTGTACGTCAGAGTGTGATAAAAATGTGTTTGCCTTCTTTTTAACTGACAGTGAAGCACTGACCAGATGCAGTCTTAAATTACAGAATTCAAGGCTGCCACTTCCTTTGGTTTAACAGTTGGAGGTACGAGAGCAGAGACAGCAAAGAAAGATCACCTAGAACTTCCGAGGGGAGAAGAAAAAACAGCCTGTTTGGTATATCAGATGACACTATCAGCAAGACCCAGCAGGGAACCATATGTCTGGAGAAATATCACATTTAAATCATGTTTAATCATTTATACCTGAAATATGACTTCATGATTAAACATTTGAAGTATTTGTGTTGTGTCTGTGAGGTTCTGTCATCATATGACCCAGATATTAGAATGTATTGATAGTGTGCATGACACATTTCTTTTTATTTATTTTATTTACGTGTTTGTTTGCATGTGTGCATTTATTCTTATAACACTGTTATTTACATCGTACTCAATTTAGACTTGACCTTTAACAGTAGGCTATAAGTGTTTACACACATCATCCCCCCAAACATGGCCTAAAGCAGATTTTACAATTACTTCGGTAGAAAATACTATAATCTAAACATAAAAGGATATGTGACATCCATTCATAAAAAACGGCAATTAATGACCATTTTCACAAAGTCACAGTAGCATGTCAAATAAACTAATAAATACTGCATTTGTAAAATTGACATCTTAATCTCAGGCTATGCGGGTGATTTTGATTAGTTTTATAATAGAATTATAGAGTCCGTAATATTATCCATAATTAATAAACACGTTGCATTGTTTCTGTCTTGACTCAATTGATTAGGTCTTGTAAAAGTGGAAGTGTAAGCGCACTTTAGCAGAAACACATTTCGTTACAAGTGATAAATATAGAAAGGAGGAGTGGCCGCATGGTTTTCACGTCGTCACATACTAGTCTTTTCGCTTGTAATCTGATACCACACCGCTGCAGCGAAAGAGCGGTAAAACAATAGAATCCGTCCGTGGGCATATGTTCATAAACTTTTACAAACCATCCAGTCAAAAGAACCGACAGTCGTTCGTATAGTCAGGTAAAGGATTATAACTTCAGCAAGCTTATATCCTTTGTCCAAAATTTAGTGAAGAAATCAAACGCAAAGTGGTTTTGCGGCGCTTTAAAACAGTTGGCCAATCAACGATGAGACAGCCGGTGGGCGGGAGGCCCTCTGATGATTGACAAAGAACTCGTCCAATTGAATACGCATTTGGTCGACACTGTCCAATCGGTTGCGGGATCGACCCACTGTATCCAACGAGAGTAGATTTTCAACGAGGTCGAGAGAAAAGCAGAGACAGGCAGACATCATTTCTCTCCCAGCGTCTTTGGACTATCTGCTCGAAGGCAAAGAGCCAAAAATTAAAAATCCCTTTCTAATCAGGAATATAATTATCTAAATTATTCACAAATTTAGCTATGGCCGACACAGCTGCTGACACGAACGCAACTGCAGAGGTTACAGCGAAGGTGCGTTTCATTCAGTTTTTCCCGTTTGAAACGTCGTCTTAAAGGATTTTTGGGAACTTTGCTAAGTTGATGTATTATTTATGTTATCGATCAGTTTAGCTAGCTCGGGTTTTTCGGCGGTTGCGGCAAACGTTACCATTATCGTTACTTAATGTAAGTTTAAACATAAAACCTGGGAAAATCAGTTTTAATCTAAACGACTTATCATGTAATGCCACTTGTCGATAACAATTCACCAAATAACGTGATTCATTCGTGATTTCAGTGTCGACAGATAAATATTATGTGTGAAAATTCAAATGTATAAGATGCGGTTAAGCTTAGCTAGAAATGTCTTGTTGAGCAGACAAAGCGGTAGAAACGGTGCAGCTGGTGAAGCGGAGCTGCTGCTGTGGGCGGGAAGCCACAGTAACGTCCGCGTTACACTACTCGGGACTTGAGATGAGAACCTTCAGTATTGCAACTTACTATTTCCGCCAGTCTTCACTGAATTACACATTATGGTAACCGAGCTTCTAATTAAACCCACCCGTGGTAAGAACGCGTTACACCTAAGAATAAATTCTTTGCTGAACGTGACTAAAGGAAATGCTTTTATTTTGTAGGAGCTGAAAGAGAAGAAAGAAGTAGATGTGGCGGAGGAGAAGACCGACCACGGGGACGCACCTGCCAATGGCACAGTGAGTCGGAGGCGAGGACTAGCCTCATGGCCTTTTGTCTTAGCACGCTTCATCATGCAGGTGTCGCTGCACCCGCCTCCCCCTCCTGTTCAGCTGCTTTCCACACTCTGCTTTGTTTGGGTTGTGAAATGGCACAGATGTTAGCTAGCAGGCCTTTGGATGTCTCCATTGGTCTCTCTAGTGTGAGGTTTCCCAGAGCTTGTTGGTTAATTCTCCCGGGAGGCAATAAGAGCTTCATACACATGCCATTTTTAAGTGTTCCCAGAGGAGTCTGTACGTGCAAGACCCTGGGAGATTTATTTCAGCTATGCTTGCGATTGCATGTTTAGTTTTTTTCTCTCGTTGAAATAGTGGCCATAATCCTATAAAATTGCCCACATCATAAAAGCCCTGATGTGGAGTGACATTTATTTCTCTTCATTCAGAATGGTGCTGAGCACAGTGACAAAGTGGAAGAAACTGCAGAGGAGGAACACAAAAATGGGGATGGTATGTTCATATAAAGCTGTTTTTAAGATGAAGACATTCACAACATGTTTAAAATAATTAACATTTGTCACCTTTTTTTCACGATTTGCCGATAAAATGTTTTCCTTTGTGTGGCCTTGACTTCAAAATTCTTTTTTGATGTTGATCTAGAAATCTTGTAAAGGATGTATTTTCTGAAGTGACCAACTGTCCTTACAGAGAGTGCAGAGGAGGTGCCCCCTGCCGAGGAGACTGATGCACAGCCTGTGAAACGTGCAGCCGAGGAGGAGGAAGAGGAGGAGGTGAATATACAATTTAATCACTTGTTTTTTGTGTTGACTGATTTGGTGAACTCTAAACTTTTGCTAATGTGTGAAATATTTTGTTTTGACATCAGGAAAAGGTGGAGACAAAAAAGCCGAAGACAGAGGAAAATGGAGGTGCAAAAGAGGCAGATGTGGAGGCTTAGGTCTCTGTCCTGTTTCGCTACTTCTTTGCAGCACTGTCTTAACCAGCCTGGTCAACACTGTGCTATAGAGCTTGTGCTTTCTGTATCTGTTGAGAGAGATTTCTTTTTGTTTGCTCCCATGTCACATTGCACTGGAGTTATCAAACACAGTGGCCCTGGATCCTTTTTTTTTTCTTTGAAATCTTATTTATTGGTCTTTACAGTGAGCTTTTTTCTACTTGTACAAACTGGGCCACAGGGTGAGATCAGTTTTTTTTTATTTCTTGAAGTTTTATATCACTATGTTAGAAGCACAATCTCTATTCAGTCAGTGCTGACCAGATGATTCATACATACAGGCAGCTGCTCAACTTCTCCAAGGCTCATGTTGACCTCTCAGATTCACATAAAGGACCAAAGATAAGTTTTAAGCAGGGGCTAATGGACAGTTGTTAGCATTTTTATTTGAGGCATCTTTTTGTGTTGAGCTGCTAGTAAATCCTCAGCTTGGCTGCCCTGTTAACATAACAGATGGTGTAAGTGAATGAAAAGGCTCCGTCTTGCGCCTCTGTGATAAGACTTGACCCTGTTTTATGGATGCAGGATTTTGCTATGTTAGTTAACCCCTCTTAAATCTTAGAGCTTTGGTCATTTGTTCTGTATGCATTCCACGCAGGTTTGTACCATTTATACTTGGTTTTTCTTATGTTTTAAATGATATGTTATGGCTGGGTAGCCAGTTTTGTCCAAACTGCCTTTTTCAGAACCAGAATGACATTGGGTTACATCAGCCACTGCTTTGTATATTCTGATTAACAAATAAATTCTTTTTACTTAAGTATAACTATTTTGTGTATATGTTACCTGCTATAGTTAAATGCTTTTTAAAACCATGGCTTTATAAGATGATGTCACTTGACCCAATTTTAGTTAACATGGAAAATGGCTGTCTCAGATGCAGTAAGGAGCAGGAATAATCTCTCACTTAGTAATGGAAAAGGTTGGCCAGAATCAACGGACTGCTGTCCTGCGTGTTCTGGCTCCCCCTTGTGGTGTGCTTTAACACTGCAGATCACTGCTCAAGTCCGCCGGATATGGTAAGTTGCAATTCAGTGATAAAATCACAACAGTAATTGACACAGAAGTACGAAATTGAAAATGGTCACTTTATAGTTTTAACTGAACCCTGAATAAAAGTAGTTTTTACAGTAAAGTTGATAATATTGAACAATAGATGGTAAAACCTTTTTTTTTTCTCAAGCAAGTTGCAACAGCATGAGCCACAAAATTACTGTTTCCTTAGAAACGTTAGCATGGTGTGCATCCAGCCAGTCCAGAAGGCTTTAATAGTAGGCAATTATTGACATTCCTCTGAGACAGCAATTATGACTGGCATCATAATGTCACACACTGGCACAAGTGTGTGAGCCAGCCAATGAAAACCATCACAATGAAAGGCTTAAAACAGGTTCTACTAAAGTTCATGTTGAAGTCAGGCTGGGGCCTGTGTTGAAGCTGAACAGGTAACACTCTCTGCCAGGGTGAAACAGATGTAAAACATGTACCATTTTTCTGATGATGGCTTCTTTAGGATGGAAGAAGGAATGAATGTTGATACTTCCTGTGAGGAACTTGGTTAACTGATGTAAAGTCATCACTGTGCTGAGCTGAGTGGTGGAGCAGAAGCCTACTATCTTAAGCATGCGCCCTAAAGATGACAATAAGTGCTTGCTGCAGGTGCTATGAACCCCCCCCACAGTCTTTTCTTTCACTGTTGTCCACCTTCAAGGTGACCCATAGCTCACGAGTCTTCTCTCTGTTCTTCTGTTTTGTTCGGTTTCCCCCTGAGTGCTGATTCACACCCCAGTTTCAACTTCTCCTCTTCCTGATAATGACAAGAATCACTGTCATTACTACAATGCCATGGCCAGGAGTAGGGTGACAGCTCACAGGGCTGCCTGTGGCTTAGTGAGCGCCCAGAGAGAATTTGCCACCAGTACACTGTGTTTTTGAATGTGTGTGCATGACTATACGTGTCATCTAAAAAATTTAAAAAATGGGACTTGAACAGAGCCACCTAGCACCAAACTGGGAGGTGGTCTCATAATAAAAATGTGTGATGTGATTAAGCGCTGATCAGTTTAACATGAATATTAAGTATGTTTGCTAAATTATGACAAAAGATCTTTTGAATTAATAAAGAAGGATTAAAGGTGAGAGTGAGAGGTCACTGGCAGCACATTCATTTAGTCCAAAAAATCCTGCCTAAGCTGTGATACTAATGTGCTAACTCAGAGAAACAGGCAGGTAGACATTCCCTTGGCCATATAACTAAAATAAAACATTAACACAAGGCTTTGGGAAGTTATGTTGCAGCTCATGCAGACATTAGGCAACTGATAAAAGGACAAAAAAGAGGGTAAAGCTGTGGTTAACTTTTGTGATTAACATTTCTATACTAAATACCAGCAAGCATGAAAAGATGATGCAAGATTTTATAGCAAAGAATCAGACATCTATAATCAAAGAGCTCACACACACAATCTCTCTCTCTCTCATACACACACACACACAAATCAGTTTGTCCCACACTGCATTGAAAAAGGTCACACACTTGTTTGCAAAAGTTAGGGGGAAAATGCATGTGAACACACTGGTCATGTATACACATATTAGAGCAGTGGCCAATGTCTCTCTGTCTGTCTACCTCTGAGAGGAGCAGTAGAACAATATATGGAACTGTGCTGTACAGTGTGTGGCAGCATGTACTGCGTTTGTCCTATCAGTGTTGTGAAGGTCAACGCACTCAGACACTAAGCAACAGTGTAAGAGCGTGTGCCGTTGAGTGTGTGTGTGTGTGTGTGTGTGAGGTAAAGTAAATTAAAAGGCTTTTCTAAATGTGCACCAACAGTGGCTGGGTCTCGCTATCGGGGGGCTCACCCTCAGGGGCGGGCAGCTGGTACACCACGCAGAGAGAGGAGTACAGGCAGCCCACGAATGACATCAGGCTTGCAAAGTACATCACTCCCTGGGCCCCACCCACTAGTGAGGTCAGAGGTCCCATTGCCACAGAGACCAGGATCTGAGCCAGGAAATACTGGCAGCTGAGCAGAGAGATGTCCACTCCCATTCCTCGTCTGGTCCCTTCCTCTGATGAGCCACAGAACTGAGGGGCATACATACAGAAATAGGTCAGTTACATCCCAAATCTATGTGGTGCACCACAAAACACTACAGTGATATCACTACAGCAATATTTCTTATTATTTTGAGAAATATCCTTATAATATCCAATATTTGCTCTCGCTGAGATTTAGATGAGAAGACTGATACCACTTTTGTATCTACATTAAGTTTTATTTACTTTTACAAGGTTAAACGTTTCATTCGAATTAGAAACCTCTTTCTCCACAATTTCCACACAAAACAACATGAAACACACGTACAACACTAAAACCAAATATTAATTAAATTCTACAATAAGCAAAGACCAAAATAAGTTACAAAAATAGTTATCAGTGTCAAGAAGTAAAAATGCTAAGAACAAAAACAAGGAAAGAGTTAACCTGGCTCTGTCAGGTTAAGGTAACAAAATCTGTTTAGCCCAGCACAATCATTTCATTTAGTTTTTATTATTATTATTATTATTTCTATATTTAGCCTTTATTTAAATAGGAAGTGCCACTAAGATTTCAAACCTCTTTTACTTGGTCAAAATGGTGGGATTTGCAGTCACAGTCACTTAGAACCACAGCGTGTTGATTGGTTTTTGTACAGAAAAACAAATGAATATACTATGTTAATTTGTGGGCCTTAGAGATGGTAGGTGGATGTTCATACCTTCAGAGAAACTAGCTGGCTGTTTCGAGTCTTTGTGTTAAACTGAGCTAACTGGCTGCTGGCTATAGCTTCATTTTTAACAGACAAATACCAGACGTGTATCAGCCTTCTCATTTAATTCTTGGCAATATGGCGAATAGACACATTTCCTAAAGTATTGAGGCATTTCTTTAAGTTAAAAGATAAAACTATCAAGCAACCAAATTACATCTTGCACATATCTAGAAACTGACCTGAGGGCTCTGGTAGTATTCACAAAGAAGAGAGTAAGGCAGTGTGCATAGAGAGGAGAAGAGCACCCCGTAGGTGACACAGAGAGAAAGTACCACATAGAGGTTGGTGGACAGCGTGGCAAGGCCTGTGCCCAAACCAAACGCCAGGTAGGCAAAAAAATATAGAGTGCGAAGAGAGAAACGCTCCTCCAGTTTCTCCAGTATGGCTGCAAGTTGAAGAAGAAACCCAGAGAGAAACAGAGAACAAATGTAAAGCTATAATGAAGACAAATTAGTGCACAAATCCGCCCAGGGTAAGAAATTACTCTTCCCTATGTGATTACAAGTGTAACTTACCTGAGTAGAAAGCAGCACTGAATGCATAGATGCACATGCCCCAGCAGCCCATGCTAACACCAGCATTGTAGCGTTGGTAAGCCTCAGAGTCGTGGGATGCTTTGGGGTCTCCTTCATACACAACCTCCCCCATGAAGTCAGTGTAGAAGAGCAGCATGCCCTCGAATGACAGCCAGCCTACAGCACAGAGTGAATTCAGTTCATCATAAATGTAGATTTTAAGGTGTGCTGGATTTTTTTTACTAAACTAAATTTAAATGGCGATTATTTTTCTCACCCAAAAAATGATTAGTGCATAAACTCCGCAGCGAGGGAGGCATCCTGTAGATGGCTATACACAGCAGCTTCATTGACATTTGGGATTCTCCTGTGTCCACGTTCTCGCTCAGGTCACTCTCATAGCGAACTCCATTTAGCAAAATGTTTGCTACCTGTATCAGACAACAAAGACAGACACTGTGTTTAAAAATGCTGTGGTGGCTACGGACCAAACTGCTTTTGTCTTTTTCAAAATATGTCTGACCTGCTGGCTGAAGGTCACTGTTCTCCTCCGCCCATTCTCTAGCCCAATGATCTGGGTTGCCATGGTCTCCTCCATCAGCGCAAGACTTTGGGGTCGCTTCAGGATACCGGCACTGGAGCCCCGGTGTGACCCAGCACCAGGCTGAGCCCCAGCTGTGACTTGAGATGCTTCATTACACAGTGCATCTCCCTCAGGCTGGGGCACGTCTGTATTCTGAGCTTCCCCAGCTGGATGAGGCACCACATCAGGCTGGATCTGTCCTGCAGGATGGCTCCCTGCTTCCTGCATCAACTCGTCAGGAAGAAGGAAGTCCCCTGGAGGCAGGGGTGCAGTGGTGGAGATGGGGGCCAGAGCCTGTGGCGTCTGTTGACCTGTGTAGCACTCTATGAGCACACTGTCTATGTAGGAGGTTCCTAAAGAGGAGGCAAACTCATTGATGCCTGTGAGAGAACTGTCCCTACTTATGAAGCTACCATATTTTGGAGTGAGGGGGCTCAGGGGTGATATGGGACTAGTGAGACCAGCACAGAGGCGTGCATTGGCACTGCAGGAATGGGCCAGAGGGTCAGGATTACATGGGTGAGACTTGTAGCTGTAAAGACCTTCCCTGTCTTCCTCATCCAGTCCCAGAGCTGACCCTGGAGGAACAGGAGGAGAGGGGGGAAGTGGGAGGATCGGGCTCTTCAGATGGTTTTTGCTTGAGTTTTTGTTTGGCTGGCTCTTTGGTAGGGGCCGTTCGGGGATACTCATCAGAGTCATGGCTGTGGCGATCACCAATGTGACACTCGTAAACAGGTATATGACCCTCAGCTGACCTCCCATCGACCTTCCAAACTGTGTCTGGTCCCAGTTAATGCCACCTACAATGTAACCGAATCCACCTCCTAGTCCTGCATGGAAACATTAAGAATACAAATAAAATACAACCTTTTATTTAGCCATTTTAATAGCTTAATTTCTGCTTGGCTTTCCACAAATGATCTTCAAAGAATACACAGTATAGTCACCAATTTTTTTGTCTTACTACCATAATAATTATACAGCATAATACTGTTATAAACCTGTGTTTATAACGGTGTAAGTGTTTCCCTACCTGCCAGGAGTGCATGGATATTCAACCCTCTATCCTGGTCCTCTGGGCTACACACATCCATCATGTAGGCATGGCTTGGGTTGTCAGCTGAATCAGCGCTAAAGTCCATCAGAACCACGCCACACACTGTCAGGACAATTCCCCACTTGTGATTTGACGCTGTGTCAGCCAGTACACCTCCGATGTCCCGTCCATTCAGCACCAGCGTTAGACCAACCAAAGCCCCTTTTGAAGGAGGAAACAGAAGAACATTTTTAAAACAAACAATAAGAGTCCAGCAGACATCTTACAGAGTGAGGAAAAATCATGCTCCACCAGCTGTACAGTGAAATTACTAGTAATGTGGAGTACTGCACAGCTTGTGAAACAATTCTATATCTTTTGTGGCTTTAAGGGAGTTTTGAGAAAATTACTCATGTTGCACCAAAAACATATTTTGACTTGGAAGCCTCAAAACACAAAGCCAATTAAAAATGAGGCCATGGATATTTAAAATTATTTTCATTTCAGGCAGGAAAGAGTTGAAGAAAGATGTTATCAAGTTGCATCATGGAAATCCATGGCCAGTATTTTTGTTTTTGCTTCACATTATGGATTGAAAGCCACAGCATGTTATAGCCTCTGCTGCTATGATTTTAACCATTCCTTTTTTTTTATCTGTCTCTTGCAAGAATCCCAGCTTTATGGGAGTACACTCTAAATCACTGTTGTACTATTTTAACACATCTTACCAATAGCCAAGGCAAAAATGAAAGGTCTTCTTCGCCCAAACCGGGATGTACAACGGTCACTCCATGCTCCTATGAGCGGCTGAACGAGAAATCCTTCAAGCCAAAGACAGAGACAGAAGTCAGTGAGTGACTGCAACAAGATTTTGATTTTCATAATTACAACATATCACATGAAACTCCAACACTTAGTGTTCACTTACCCAGTATGGGGCTAATAAACCACACCAAGCTATAGAATTGATCAGGCAGACCCATCTGTAGAAGCACAGGAGTCACATAAGCTGTTTCCATGGCATAGCTAAACTCTATACCAAAGAGGATGCAGCCATTGAAGAGTAGCTCCGGGAAGGTACGTCTCGGGGGAAGCTCAGTGAGGTCCAACTGGTCCAGAGGACAAGGTGTGTTGGGCGGGGGAGGCGGTGAAGGTCTTATCAGCTTCCGGCGCTTTGGCTGTCTTTGAAAGTTGTTGGCTCTGTGACTAAGGTGCCGAGTGGTGGACGTTGGGAAGCTGGCTGTTTTGGGGAGTGAGCTTCTCCAGAGACTACCTTCCTGAGCTGTGGATAACCTCCCTCCAGGACTAGCCAAGAGAGGGTCACTGGGGGTACCCATGCCTGGAGATGACATCTCACTCAAGCCAGCTTACACTACAGGAAAAAAAAAACCAAACAAACAAAAAAGAAACATTGTCAAATTAAGCCTCAGACACGATTAAAACTTGTTCTGGTTTGACTGTTCTTACTAGAGGTCATTCATGATCACCACAGTGGGGTATAGTCAGCATAGTGCTGCTAATGATCTTGTATAGCTACCAAGAGAACACTGCAGTCATCAGCAGACAGCAATGATGGCACAGCACTGATGAGCACGACGCACTGCAACCTGCGCGCATGTTAAGGCTGTGCTCAAAGCCCATGTGCTGGACGTGGCTGAATACAGCAGTGTAGTATGCGGCACTGCTCTCATGAAGCCTGTTTCCATTTTATTTTTTCATGGAGGGAGCTCAAATCGGACACAGTGGAGCCGCTGGGGATTATAACGATGACAAGACAGCAACAAAGATAACGTAGCAGTACTGGTCAAACGCAATGAAACATTTATTTTGACCAATAGCTTATAGATCCCATTTGTAGCCAAGAAGGTAATCGATTGCTTTTTTTTTTTTAGTCTCTTGGCAAATGATCCTCGATTTGAAATTTGCTTCTAAAGGTGACGACCATACAGACGACTTAGCTGTGTTGGAAAATGAAGAAGGCGTGCAAACTGAAACGTGAAAGATGATAATTACCTTAATCGGGGCGGCTCGTCATTTATTGCAGCATATTGTGTAGGTAAATAGAGCGACCACTGTGATTTATAAAAGACGCAGAATGAATTACAGGAGTCATGGTTATTTTTTTGGTTGTGTTTTTTCCCTTGGAGGCAGTCATCCCCCCGTTCTCTCCTCTGTTCCTTCTCCTTCCCCCCGTTCGCCTCTCCCTCCCGGTCTCGCTCGTGACGTCACGCCCCTCCCTGCAACATCAGCACCGCGGACAGTCCCAGCTGCAAAAGCACATCTGTCCTCCAGTATAGGCTACATACAGCACACTTTAGGTCAGAACTATAATGCAGCTAAGTATAAGTCTACATTTCGTGAAGTACTTTAAATTTGTGGCACCTGTTGTGTAGATATCAATTTTATGCAACTTTATACTTGTGCACTATTACATTGGGAAATATTGTACTTTTTACTGCACTACATTTATCTGAAAGACAGGCCTGTAGTTAGCCTACTTTTGGCGTTAAAATGTTTACATCAAACACATGATAAGTGTAGGCTGTATAATATGACATACAATTAAAAATTAAACCGGTTTCCAGCCTTGTTGTACTCAAGGATTTAGTCCCTTTGCTGTACTGAATGCTTGTGTTTTAAAAGTGCTCTTTTTAGTGTAAAGCAGTGCTGGCTTTCTTGGCTTCCCCTTAGAGGCTTGTGGCATTGACTCTCTCAACCTATGATGCCCAGTCTACCTTTTCCATATGTTATATCTGTCACCTACTTTGCGGAGTCATGTTTTATTGACTAAGCAACTAAATGATTAAAAGAGAAAATACTTGACAGATTAATAATAATTAAAATAATTATGTGTTGCAGCCCTAGTTTTTCCTCTTTGTGTTTCACAGTGTAGAGCTCCAGTCTCTGTGGCAGAACCAGCCCATGGTCTTGTTCTTCCTGCGCAGATTTGGCATAAGTGAATGACAAAAACAATTATGGTTAAAAAGCCATAATTAACTGATGAACTTCAACATGTAGATGTACTGGTGTGGCATTGACAAGGGAAGTATTAGAATGAAGGCAAATAAATGGCTTGGAACATTTTTACAGTCTCTCCTCTAGAGGGCAGTGCTGCATCATGTCAGCTCTTAATATGCTCCAAACCATTTATTCTTAACCTTGATGATCTACAGGGTTGCTGCTTTAAATCAGTGCTTTATTTCTTGTATGCCATTATTCAAAGCAATTAGATTATTATGGTTTGCAAGCTATACCACTGGATTGCCTTGCAACACTTATTTATGCATATAGGAGTGGATTTCCTAACCTGGTGAAGTTGCATTGGCAAAAACATTTTTCTGTTTGATAGGTTTGTTTTCAGCAGACTCTGTTTTACATCTGTAGTGATGTCAGAGTAGCCACTTTACAGTTTCACACTTGTTATTCCATCTCCATGGTTTGTCAGTGTCTGTGTCAAAGACCCAGAAAAACCTTTTAAACTCGAATGATGATCCCAGTCTGTACCTAATTGTACTGAGAAGTTACTGTACAAATCCATTATATGTAGTATAACATGGAACAACAGCACCGACAGGCTTGCCCAAAATGTCTCCTTGTATGTAGTTCCTGTAGTGCATGGTTATTAATATAACAGTGGAAATAGCATATAATGCAAGTGTCAGGTATTTAAATCACAGTTTTGGTGTCTGAGATAGAATATGCTTGCCTCAAATACAAGCATGAGTTTTAAGCCATGACTATATTTTTACCATTACAGTACAAGCTGTGCTGAACTTTGCATTGTAATGTACACAAACAGGAGAATTAAAAACAAATGATAAGTCGGTGTTGTTCAAAATTGATTAATAAGAAGCCTCTGATTTCCTCATTGTCAAACATGTAAGCAAGAGATTCAAGAAAAAAAGAAGGATTGCTAAAACACACAACACACAAATAAGACACAACAGCAGTTAAAAATGAAAAACTAAGAAGACTACCTCCTCAGGGTTTCAGGTAGTCAGGGATAAATGTCTTCTTGAATGGGTCATTACAGAATAAAAAATATTCTGAAATTCATGTAGTTACATTATTTTGAAATTTTGTAACATAACATATTCCTCCAGTGCAGCAAAAAAAAAGTTAGAAGACTAGTGCAAAAACTAATGAGCTATGCAAACCTTTACACAGCACTGTATTTTTAGTGCACTACAGTTTAGGACTGCAACATCAGATTACTGTAGTTTACATCATTAAGGACAGAGAATGAGCCTCAGTAATGACTGTGTTTCAGTGGTGTCAATATATAATAGATTGTAGAATAGGAAACACTATTTAAATTAGTAGCATATTTAGAAACATTGTTCAGGGGCCCTGGACATAATATCTTGAGTCCAGAGAACTGGGTATTTTGTCCTGTGATCATTGCGGTTTTCAGTATGTCCATGATGTCCAACACGTGGTCCTCAACACTATTGCCCCCTGGCTTTGTTGTTCACTTCCTGCAGCACCCACCATGTCGAAGCTATTGCAGCGTGTACAGTGGGCATCCCCATGACCCTCTCTGAAGACCAACAGAGGGTTGGAGCCCAGGAACAAAATGGATCTTGTTTTCATTCAGGGCTCACACTGTGGCAGAAACTGGCCTAGTCACAAGCTGCTGACACGCTTCTGTGGAAGAGGCCCTGAACAAGTTCAAGCTTTCTGAGGTCACTGGCTGATCTTTACAAGACCAGGATTTCTGAGTCATTTACCAGTTTCAATATTCAGACATGGTGTTGTCTTGTTCAAACATTTCCTCTTCAGTCATGATAGGCAGTATTTACTTCTCACTGTATCTGTGTATTGAGGTAGAAACCTCTAACTGTTTTCCCTGTCCCAGTCTCATAAACAAGGCAAACTGTCTAATGGTCTCCTTGGACAGACCAGGCTTCATACAGACTTTTATCGCAGAAACTGAAGAGTTCATCTAGCGTAATTTATCAATCCATAGTTAAATCTGCAGCACTGGGTGTTATGGTGGCCAAGAAGACAATCTTGTAAGACTTAATCACAACATCCCTGGACTCAAATATGATGTTTCAAAGCTCTTTATCGGTCCTTAGAATTCTTCTGTAAAAATAGTTTCCAACGTTTCTGTTTAAATTTTGAGTGAAAGCTAGAAACTGTTATTGACACAGTATTGATTAAGACCCTTATCAGCCCACGGCAGATACATTATGGCCACTTTATGCTTTTGGTAAGTAGAAATGGTTCCTCTTGTTTTGGGGAACGTGTGCTCAGTAGTTTAGCTATCAAAAAAAGTCATTTTCCTGCAAAGTGAACCTCAAGGTTTTCTGCACAGTAATCTTTATTAATGTGTAAAACATTTTTATCAACATGTTCCACAAACCTGGAGATTAGCCTGAGTGCCAGTAATTGGAGTTGCACCTAAAGTTGGAGTAATAGATGCCTCTTGTGCATCAAATATTCAGTGAATACATTTTTCAAGCTCATTATTTGTGACCTCTGTAGCTTCTCTTTCAGTGCAGTGAGGATGTTTGCACACAGTGACTGCAGCACCTCATGGTACCTGAACAACACTAACCCTTCAGGAAGCTAAAATCCACTCTGTAATCCACGTCAACCTTTTTGCCTTTGCACTGGATGATTTGTGTCCTTTTTTTATATGTATAAAAAAATTCAAATTACACATATAAAAGGAGAGACTTGAGGCCAACCCATTTGAGACAGTAACTTTAATGGCAATAATTACATATCTGAATCACAAAAATAGCAGTTTGTCTAGATAATTACATAGCAGCAGGAACATTCATAAAACATCTTCAGCATCTGAATTCTTGCTAAGCAACAATGCTATGTCATAAATATTAATGTAGATAAATAATCTCTGATGGGTATACAATGTAACATTTTTATATATAGCAAAAAAATGTATTTGTACTTGGCTGGTAATTTTAAAATAACACAATTTCACCATGTACTCAAGTGTGAAGCTAAAACTAAGGTAAGAAATGTACGCCTTCTTTCCTATCTCATTGAAATAGTTTATATGTAAATACTACAGTACAGAACATCTACAATAACACATTTTATATCGTGAGCGTTTTATGTTTAATTGACAGTTTTTGAGCTGTTTCACTTATTTTGATGAAAACCAGACAAAGTTTACAAAAGTCTAAACGTTTACTCGTCGAATGGCAGCCCAGTGTTGCATCGTAGCTAATGAGTTAGTCTCCAGCATTTGTTTGAGCAAGACATGGTAAATGTGCCTTTTTATTTAAAGGAGTAGTTCAGCATTTTGGAAGATATGTTTCTTTGCTTTCTGGTAGAAAGCGAGATGATCAGATTGATACAGTCTCATGGTTCATTAAACATGAGACTATAGCCAGAAGACAGTTAGCTTAGTTTTAGCATAAAGGCTAAAATCAAGGCGAAACAGCTAGCCTGGTTCTGTCCAAAAGTATCATTACATTTTGTTTGTTTAATTTGTATTAAAACAAGAGGTTAAAAACATCATTATTGATTTCAGCCATGAAATAGGCCAATGTACATTATAACCCATGTAAAATGGGGAATTGTTGTTTTTACACCTCAGTTTTTGTGCAGATTAAATACAAAAAGAGATCACTGGTTTTAAACTTTAAAGGTGCTACTAGGCAAATGTTGTTACTGTTGTAAAGAGCCAAACTAGTTGCTCCTCCTTGCTTCCTGTCTTTGTGCTAAGCTAAGCTAACCATCTTCTGGCTGTAGCTTTATATTTAATGGACAAAAATGAAAGGGCTATCAATTTTCTTATCTAACACTCTGCCACAAAGTAAAGAAGCTTATTTCCCAAAGTGCTGAATCTTTGCTTTAAGATGGTAGCGCACTCTCAGCACCTACAATCTAAGTAAAACAGTCTTTAATTGAAGTTTCTTCTGTCCCTGTTAAACACAACAGTATTTGCCACTAATGAAGACTGAAAAACAGACTGAGAATAGTTCAGTATGCACATTCAGTTTAGCAGCTTCTCCTGAGACCTAACAGTTTTCTTCAGTTTACCAAGGAATCCTGAATGTGACCAATGACAAGCAAACATTCAAGACTGTTTCTTTTTTTATCTGCTGTATTTGAATGCTCTCCTCAAAATGGTGGCTTCCTGCAGCCAGTACCTCCACACTGCTTTGATTCTGCTGTCATTACTCGTTAATAAAGGTAGAAAATAACAGTCCTGGCCCTGGCCACCTCTTTAATGACAAGCCCCATTCTTGTCTGTCCCCCTACAGGCTCACTTAGCCTCGTCTTTCATTTTACACAGCAGTGATCAGTGTGAGATCAGAAGGCAGACCACTTCATCTGCTGCCTGCCCATGTGTCTGAGGGGTTTTCTGCTCCCTTCTCCCTTAGCATGTAATTGACTATGCCCAGAGGCTGAAACTCTTATAATCACTGTATTGAGTTCTGTGTAGAGAAAGAAAAGCCGGGGCTGTACTTGACTAAGGGTTTTGTCAGTCGACTGTCAGCTGGCTCTTCAGTGTGACGATTTGACTATTCATTCTACTTCCTTCTTTCTTTTTTACTCATTATATAGCCCAAACTATTGGAAAATCAACTTGACCACATTAACATCAGCATTAAAATGCAAAAGAGTGACAAGAACATATTTATGAGCATTTAAAAATCAATAGAAGACACAAATTGTGACCTATTTAAATTGACAATATATAATGTCGGGCTGCCATATGGATTTGTTGGAATAATGAGACAGGCAGCACACTTGTATTGCTGTTAAAACAATGCTCTTATAAGCATCTTTTGCCAGTTAACCAGCACGTTGTTACTGTGCATTTGATATGTGCCAGGTGGCACTGCAAACGACTCCTCTCATTTATAATTCTTAATTGAAATGTTTTCCCTGTGCATTCAGATGGATGCATGTCACAGAAACAGTCGGTAAATGGCTGTGTGTTGCACTTTAATGGAGTTGGGTTCAAATCAGTCTCACATAACAGGCCATGAAACACCAGCCACATCGTTGCAACAGTCTTTTCTCTAGTAAAAGCAGATCACAATGTTTGAAAACACTTCTAATAAAGTACAAATCTCACCTTTATGTGGCTTGTCCCAGTGGGTTCTGTTGTCCTTTTCTCCTCGTTCTGCAATTTGCTAAATAGATCCGACCTTAATGTACATCCATGCATCAGACAGTGTCACAGTTGAAGTAGGTATTACCCTAACCCAACCACAGGGGGAAGTAAATTGAATAAATTGCTGCTTGGCACACCAAAATGAGGAGAAGAAGACGACAAACTACCGGTCTAGGGCTACCTTCTATTGTAATGCACTGTTTGACAAAAATAAAATATAATAAAATAAAAACAAAGGCTCAACTAGAAAAGTTTCAGTTGACTGACAGGTCTCTCGACTAATGACTCAACTAGTCGACTATTAGGGGGCAGCCCTACAAATCAGCTAACTTTGTTGTGTTAAATGTAAACTTACACATATTATACATGTAGATATAATTTTAATAAATGTAAATAACGGGAGCTAGGAGTAGGTAATAGGAGCTTTGAAAGCTATATATCAACCCAACACTTGGGACCGTTCAAAGGCATGTAAAAGATGAAATGTCTAGAAGCAGGAAAACGGCAGGGGGGGATTTAAATACACAACACAGCCTACAGTATACCCAAACCTGTATCTAAATTGGCAGTACTCAATAACGCAATCAAGTGGTATATATAGTTTTTTTTTTATCATTATTGCTCCATCTCTAGCCTAGTCTTTCTGATTAACTAAAAAGTAGCAGGCCGCCAAGATTTTTAAAAACATCTGGAATATGGTTTCTCACAGCAAACCGTCATGACATACATATACATTTCTGTAGTGATTATTGAGAAACAATCATTTTCAGAGTGTGATAAAGAAATATAAAACTGCAAAAAGTGCTAATAAGCTTTGAAAATGTAACCACTCTGTAAGTGGTAAAATGCTGAAAACTAAACTGCAGCTCTCTCCAAATGTTAGTTTCAGGATAAAGCTGCAAAGATTTAACAGTCTTTAAGTCTTTAGGTAATTTGTTTCAACTATCAGTCAATGACCAAACTCTGAGTGTGACTAATTCTATTGTAGCTGTACTTCAGCAAAGCTCTGAGTTTTCATTTATTTCATACTCACCCTTCATGCAGGGTTAGAATTGTTCACTATTGTTCCTTCTGAAATGGTACAATGTCTTGAAAAGAATAGATCAGAGAAAGGACACCAAGGCAACTTAGCGCCAAATGTTAGTGGATAAATCACAAAGATCTACACTAGAGATTTTTTAAGGATTATCTCAAGAAAGGCTGGTAAAGCATTTAAAGCCAGTTATAAGCTTTAACCTTTACACAAGGTCTTACAGTATGTTATCTGTGTAGCCTTTTCATTCATGTACCCACTCCTCATCTGTTGCGGTACACAGCAAAACAGAACAAGTGACCTACAAATCCAGAGACAACACTTCAGACTTTGAGAAGATACTCAGGCAAGTTTCTTTTTTAAAAAATATTTCAGGTTTTGAAAGTACGGTGTACTGCAAGATGTGCTCCATTTTAAAAACATCCACAGTATTTGCAAATATTTGTGTCATTATTCGACCCAAAATAAACTGGAATAAGTCTTAAGCATGATGTCTCTGTGGGTTTAAAGAATACAACTTGTTCTTTCAATCTGAGTTTTGCCTGTGTCAATTAAGAAATATCACACAAACAAAACCTTCTACCATACACGACACTTCAGCTCAGGGTTCATTGGGCTGCCTTTTTGGCACTGGAAAGCTTCTGAGAACGCTTCAAAATTCTGGAGAGATCCAAGCACCCTGAAGACAAAAGAAAGGCAAAACATTACAGGTGAAAAAGTTAAAGTGTGCCATGACTGTCAGAGGAACAGCCTCCAAGTCCTCATATTTGAATCAACAAATGGAGCTGCATTAATGTCACTGCACGCATACTTTAATGATTTACACTTTGGTACAACAGAATACTTTACTTTAGTTTACAGTGTGGTGAACTGTGTGGCTGTGTTGATACTGGAGGAACAGTGAAGCAGCTCAGAGAGTAACATCAGCACTTCAGCAGGTCACTTCAGTCATATAGATTTGACTGGTAATTTCCTGTAGGCCGATCTATTGTTAATTTAAAAGATACTGATTACAGCTTGTCACGTTATAATAAATACAAGGGGTGAGCTAGATTTAACAAAGCAAACTTACTGTATTTTAATCCATCAGTAATCAGTGTATTCAGTTAGAAACATCTATCAATATGAATCTTACTTAGAAATTAAAATACAGTCACGAAAGCTTAATGAGCTACTTTGAGTTTAGCATAGCTGACAAAATAAAAGTTTTCCACAGATTCTCACTTCTCAGCTAGAAGAGTTGGTTTTGCAGCAAGATGGCTGCATGGTAAACGGTGTGCCTGTTTTATATTAATGTGTGTTGGTAAATATATTCTGCGCATTTTTTTATTCATCCTTGTGGCCAATATTTTGATCAAACTGCACAAGCAGAAATTTATTGACATCAAGCCAAAAGTAGATTCCAGACCAAAATCAATAGAGTGGTAGTTTAATTACATCCAGAAAACTACATATTAAAATATTCTTACTGGTCCTGAAGCGTATGCCTATGCTAAAGCTCCTTACCTGTATTCTAAGGGACTGTGTGAGTCAGTCTTGATGGACTGGCTGGCATACTCGGGGCGATAAGCACCACACCACACCTGGGGAAAAAGATTACAAGTGGCAAGAGTAAGCTATTTTTCAAATCAGTCAACTCAGTCAGAGTTAAAAGTAGGTTTCTCTACACTTTTAACATTAGAAATACATATATGAATATAAATCATGTATTTACAGAACTTGATATGTAATAATTCTCCCAATTTTCATGTTATATTCAAGTTTTTTTCTTGTTTTTTTTTTTGCTAATGCACCATCTGACTTGTAAATTTCACCATCTCAGAGAGGAGTGATTGTAGCTCTCAAACAGATTTGTTGTGCGTGTTTAACCAGATTTATTTTCAGTGACAGATTTCTGCTTATGCTTTACATTCCCTGGCACCACGAGCCTCTTTACTTTGGCAGTTGCTGTCATCCCCTGCTTGTGTAGCTGGACACCGATTTGTTCTGGGATTGCTTCAGTGTCTCTAACCTTGGCCCTTTTCTCTTTTTCTCAGTGTATACACTGACTGAAAAACATTCCTCCTGAGCATCAGAACTCAAATCAAGGTGGGGAAATTATCAACTGTCCTCTATCTGTTGAATTAATACGTGTCCACTTATTCTTTTTTCTTACTTGGGCAAAGTTAAGAAAAAAAAGTTGCTTGTGATCCATATCTAGACCAGGTAGACGAGGCTCCTCACCCTCCATCGCCACCCACTTTAGATAAGCCTGTAAACACACACGCAAATTTAAAAGATGTGCACAAGTTTATTTTAAGCATTTTGGAGTTACTCGTTATTGCCCAAATAGTAACATGTTGCTTTGTGTTTTTGTCCAACCTTGTATGCTTGACGAACCCCTCCATTGTCAGCAATGTTTTCCCCTAAAGTGCTGATTCCACTGACCTGCAATCACAGAAAACCATAAGCACATGAAATTTTGATGGCCACCTAATACATGGTTTGCATAGTTAGGGGTTACAGCTGAGACAAAACATCTCACTTCACAAATTCCAGTGGGTGCTCACATTTTGTCCACCTGCTAGCTTCCAGTTGAAGTTGCCGTATTGTTCCACCATACACTGTGACTGCTCTTTGAAGTGCTCAGCAGAGTAATTACTCCACCAGTTTAGCATATTACCATCCTTATCAAAATTACGTCCTGTAAGTAAACAATGTGCACAACATACAATGTGATAAACATGCTGCATGTGTATCTGAAAGGTTTACGAATTGTGCTTCCCCAAAATCTCCCTTATGAATCACTTGTGTCTCACCATTGTCATCAAATCCGTGTGTGATCTCATGTCCGATAACCATTCCTATTCCACCAAAGTTAAGGGCCTGGTGCTGATGTTTACTGAAGAAAGGCGGCTGTAGGATTCCTGCAGGAAACACTGGATATAAACATAAACAGCAAGAGTAAAAACATAATCAGTGCTGGGAGCACCATCGCATGGAAGTACAATGAAAATAGACTATGTTAGCATTACAAGAGCATCTGTAATTTGTCACACAGGCGCCCGGTGGTCTTGATGATTCTTGTAAAGCTCTTACCTATCTGGTTTCTGTTGGGTGAGTAGAACGCATTCACCACAGCAGCACCAATGATCCACCTTAGGAGTGATTTACAAATGGATTAAAACTGATAAGAAAGCATTTAACTGTGTTTTTAGTTGGAGGACACACCTGTACAATTTATGCATGGAGCATATTTTGCACCATGAAACAAACCTTCATTAAAATTCTATTGGCTTTTAAGAGTTAGAAAATCTTTCTCTTGTAATTATAAAAGCAGCAAATTACAACAGGACATTCAATGCACCATGTGCATTTGATAAAATCGTTTGTGTTTCATTTTGGCTGAAAAGAACCTGGTTTACTGTCTCAGACCATGTATGACTGTCCACAATCCATTTTTGTGTGATCCACCTCATTTGGGTTTTCACGATAAATGACGTTTTCTGTCATCCATTTTTGTGTGATCCACCTCATTTAGGTTTTCACAATAAATGGCGTTTTCTGTTATGCACTTTATAAAGCAGCACTATGGAGCTTGGCTTATTAACTTACTAATAAGGACAGTTTGTATTGTCTGTTGTAATAACAGCTTACAAGTCTGGATCAACTGGTTCTCTGAGCTTCTTCAGACTCTTGTGTGCTTCAGACTTCAGGTTCTCAAGGATGTTCTCAAAGTAGTGTTCTTCACTGAAGTTTAGCTGGAAAAAGAAACAGGACATCAGTGATTATAACTAGATCTTTCAGTTGTTCACAGTGTGGCCTAGAAATAGACTCAGTTTTTACTTACATGAGCATACTCCAGGTCAAGTTTCTCATTGTTTGCCTGTAGAATATGATCTGGATAACCAATATGCTCCTTGATTGCCATGGCCTACAAGAAATACGTAACATCATCCAGTACCTAGACAAGGTAAACCTTTGTTTTCTCAGCTTGACTATGAGCTGTACTGTACCTTCTCTCTTGCTTTCTCTTTTGAGGGTGCGTCCATCCAGCTTAACTCTTCCAGTGTTTCTACATATGCTGCCTGGATCTTACTGATGAGATGTTTGACCTGTGAACATATGGCACAAATACAAAGACCGTAATCAAAATCCAATGCAGAAATGCATTTTTAAAATGATGAAGCCCCAGGTGATGCATGTGTAAAATATCCCTACAAACTGACTATCCCAGCAACGTTGCGATTGAGACGTTTAATTTGCGACACTGTACAACATTACAATTATAACATTACCATTAGTAACATTGCTGTTGCATATTTGCATATATTTGAATATTCATCAGCCCTGGAATGCACACTGAGGAGCAAATGTCGAGGCCTGTTACAGAGATTCACTGAACTTTTTTTGAGGAAAATCTGTGTTAGACTAAATAATGTTTATAGCAGAGTATATTTATATGCAAATATAAATATTAAAATGTCTCTGGAGTGGAACTTCAAGGGCTGTTTAAGAAAGGAAAACTGACCATTCGTTTACTTTCTCCAGCAAAGGTCTCACGCACGTACAAGGCTCCGACTGCATTCTCCATGCTGCTCTGGACATAACGGATACATTCTCTCCACCAAGCATCCTCCACTGTGGTCCCATAGAGTGCCTGTCCATGCACACACACACATGCACAGTGTAATTTTGCTTCTAACCATGCTTGAGTTACCATGTGTTATTGTGCTGTGACATGCTCAACGCACCTTCCGGTAGCGGGCTCTAGCATCTTTGAATCGACGGCTCAAACTGTTAACTCTGTCAATGATGAGCTGCCAGGTGAGGTAGTTCTGCATAGTTCTGCAAACATAAATAGCTTTTGTTAAATTGTTGTGCTATATTGAAGTTATTCTGTGATAACTGAATGTCATTCCTGGACTGACCTGACACTGTGTCTGGACAGAACGTCATTCATCTTGTCAAGATAGGGAGAGCTGTACACCACCACCTCCTCCTCTTGCTGGACCTCAATAGATACACTTGACAGCACACCATGAATAAATCGTGTCCAGTTAAAGCCCTGGAAACAAAAGATAGGACATATTTTTGGTTTTTACTAAATATGGTTAGAATATCATGTTGATTATGTTATGCTTAAGAAAGAAATAAAATTATACTTACGTTCAGGCTGAATGTGTTCTGTAGTTCACCGAGTGTCATCTTGTTGTAAAGAACAGTAACATCCTGGCGCTCTTCTGCCGTTGATGTGGCCTGTCCAGCAATAGGAAGAAAAAATGCCTTGTAAAAATCAATGTTCAGTTATATATTCACATTCGGCTCATCTTTTTTCAGCAAAGTCTCATTAGTCGTGCTTGAACAAGTTTGAACTTTAAAAACTTTCACTGAGTTCCAAAGGTTCAGTAGAGTAAATGATTCTCTGATTTATTGGAAGCAGAATGGTGGTGCTCATTTTTCATCTTGACTGTTAATTATCGTTAGCTATTGTCCCATAATTCCATTTTCTGTTGTGGCTGGCACTCACATTGGCGATGTCTGTCTCCAGCTCCAGCACTTGCATCATTTCCTCCCACACACGGTCATCGTCCTGAGTCAAGTTCCTATCCTCTCTGGTTATTTTTGCAATAGAAACCATAAAATGTAGGTAGGCCTCTCGAACCTGTGGTTCAGTCATGTAAGATAATTTCAAAAAGTCAAAGCTGTGTCAGGAAAATGGCTTGTTCAGCCAGATCACAAGCATGTTTTTTTTTTTGTTACACCATGTTTCAGTTAAATGTCACTAGGATCTGTTTTTTTTTCTGCCACTAACCCAGTACTACTGAGGTGAATGGAATTCATATGTCCCATTCATAAGTTCACTTTTCAATGTTTTGGAAAGGACATTGTTGTTGATGCCATAAACAAAAGTTCATTCACCTTCATTGTACTGAGGTAGAAACAGAAATCAATGAGTTGGGTTTTATTAAACAAATAAAACCAAGACGATCATAGTTAAATGAGAAAATATATTGTTGTGTAATTTCTGTGAACTGATCCTTTAAGACCTCACCTTTTTGTAGTTCCCGTCGTTGAAGTAATAGTCTCTTGATGGCATTCCAAGTCCCGGCTGGTCAATCTAACCAGGATAATATTCACATTTTGATGCGTTTTTAACCGTATAATTAAAGCTGGCAATATTCTGTGTTTTTCATATAATCAATAAATCATCCATGGAAAGACTAAAACAAACTATGATCTAATCCTGCTAACAAGTATTATCTATGTAACCAAAGCCTGATATGGCTTGTTTCTCTGTTCAACAAACCTCTGCTGTTCTCTAAAAATGATTAAAAACCTATTAATGAGCTACAGTGCAAGTGTTTTTAAGGATTTACATCTTCAGTAGAAATGAATGGGCTGGGCTGCAAAGTATTAACAGATGGACTTGTATGCGGTCTTTTCATGGGATTTGTTGTTAGTAATAATAATATGGAACAACACCAAACAGTGATCTTACATAAATGATATGGCGTCGAGAATCCCGATCATCTGTCCACACATACATGTCCAGCAGAACCTTCTTGTGGAAATAAGCATTAAGCACAGCCAGTGTGTCCTCAATGCTCCATGCTTCTTCTGCAATTACATCAAAAAATTAAACACACTTGCCTAAAGGTGCAAAGAACTCTTCAGTGTACCAGGCTGCAAAAATCAGGTCCTCTCTCTGCCTCTGTTGCATATTTAACTAGATACTGTGCAAATATATGTGGCTGGCTCTGTTTGAGCCATCATCCATGATTACATTTAATTGATGTGGCAAGAGTCACGAGCTTGCTGGAAGGGCACTGTAGCCTATTTAAAGCATCTTTCACAGTCCTGATTGAGAAGCTGCTCTTCTACCCACTCATCACACTTCAAACTCCACACCTGACTGCTCAGCTGAAGAGCCTCAGCCGGCCTCTCCATCCCACCAACAAAACTCATAGTCAGCAATTCAAATATAGCTCCACGGGCTCTGTGTGAGCGCATGTATTTGAGTAGTAACACAAGAGCTTGTTTGTGTGGATGTGTTGTATGTTTGCACAGACCAGACTGTGGACATTAATCAGAGTGTGGTTTTGATGTATATCTACCCGTAGTGGTGTTCCAGTCGTCTGATGCCACAGGCCAGTCTCCAGTGCTCTCAATGAGCTTGAGAAGTGGCAGAGAGTCGCGCTGCTCTATGAGGCCTGTGAGCAAAAAAGCTCATTTTATAATGTTTAACCACAGCAATGCCTTATAGAGAATGAAGCTTTATTCTCGACCTTTGCAGAGAAGTTGGCAAAAACAATCTTGCCAGAAGAATTCATTTTTAAGCTTGAATTTTAAAGCACAAAAGGGGTTTACACACCAAAATCAAGGGGATAATGGCTTTTGTTTAGTTTAAAGTGTCTTAAATTTAAATGTAATTTACAAAAGTCTTAGATATTTGTCTGTAGGTGGTACTGTTAGTTATAAAATGTTTTTGTATCTGATGGTTGGGAGACTACACAGACACAGTAGTCTGTACTGCAGGAGGCTGACCGATCCTTTTCTGTGGAGTTTCAGGCACCATCAGACTTGTAGCAAATACAGTCACTACTGCTAGCTACAGTAGACAGAAAGTGTCAGTTTTTGGGGAATAATTCAGTGAACTTAAATGAATGATATTTATCTGATTACTCTGACCAACAATTTATACCATTATATGGGTCCTAATTAATTATATCATTAGAAATTAAATACTTCAGGTAAGTACTAAAACACTCTTATATAATAATGAATAATTCCAGGCCATATCGTCCCTACTGGTTTTCCATCAAGCTGCCAAACCTTTGCTGGTATGATCATTAAAGGTTCTGAATTGCATTCTATGTTGTATTAAAATGGTTTTTTAAAGCCTTAAATTGTATTTTGGCAAACACAAGCCCTGGCTGAGGAACATTGTCTGAAATGATCAGCCACTCCAACATAACATGTTTTTCTCAACTTCTTGCCTCCTTTTAGAAGAAAAATATCATTTTTTTAGACTGCGTGAACAGATCCTTACTCTCATTCATGCAGGAGTTGTAAAGAGTTTTAGCCTTCCTGATAGCGTCCCGGTCTTGCTCATTCTCTGTTTCGAGAACACCTGCAGCAACAAAACACATGCAAACATTTTTTTCTGTGAATGAAATCCACACATAGCTCTGAATACTGCCGCCCACTGACCACCAAAGATTAAACCCATGGTCCTGACATTGTAACAACTGTACCCACTGACCTTTGAGGACAATCTCCAGCTTGTCCCTCAGAATGTCAAAGACACTGTGACGAGAACTGGTCTCTGGAATAACATGGCGCTCCAGCCAACCCCCGCAGGCATACTGGTAGAAATTATCACAAGGCTTTACAGACTTATCCATGTTCTGCAAGAGTCGAGCCGCTTTAAAATGTCACAGAGACAAAAGAGGAAAGAGAGACAGAGGCACAGGATAGTGAAGGTCCAAATGAGTTTAAAAAACTGTTTTGTTTTGTTTCCAAGGATTGTAGTTGACTTTGCAAAATGAAACAGCAGGGACACAAAGAAACAACAGTTCCTCTCACCTGCGGTAACACAGTCCGCAGTTGTGCACACATTGTTGAGGTTGGAGCGAAACAGCTGGTCTGCAAAAGTCAGTCACTCATGAAAGAGCATGTGACAAATTGCACTGACTGAAACAAGGATGTTCTGCAAAGCCTAGAGCTAATTCTAAATAGCCTAGATCTATGCTCTGTGTGATGGATAATGTCTGTGTCAGCAGTGATGCTGTGCTTTCACTTTGTGTGGCACTGCTGATCAGGCAGTAAAGGAAATTACAGTCTTACAGTAATTATCAGAAGTGCAGGTTGGAATGTGACACATGCCACCCCACGTGTCCCACAGTGGAGCCTGTGTTAGATTCAAAGACTCACCTTCACCTGTTGAGCTCCTCGACACACTTGGCCTGTTAGATTGTTCTGAATTGGATGGAAGAAAGGGATTTTAAACATTATACACAGCCAGGAGAGCTGTCTCATTTGCTTTTACCATTTGTTAACATTTAAGTTGAGTTGTAGTTGTATTGGCAAGCCTAAAAAGATAATGATTTCTTCGAAAGAAATTCAAAAAAGAGCCTGAATTTTCAGTTCATTACTTAAATGATAGACCTGTGTGTAGTGTACATATGGTGTTGTGTGGAAAAATATTTATTTTTCTAACACTGATGAGTAGCATGAACCTTTAAACTCTCTCTGAAAGGTCATCCAATGACACATGCAAAAAAAAACTAAGCAGGGAGACACTTCATTAATGTTGTCATCTGTAATGTCTGGATCTTTCCACAGTGAGCCTGAGAGAGTTGTTACCTTTCACAAGTGATGTGTAGAGGACTACAATCCCAGCCAAGGCACAGCTGACCAACAGCAGCAGCACAGACAGACTGATTTCTCCAACAGTCCAGCGACGTTTTCCAGGCTTACTTGATTTTTCCATGATATCCATTTGGCTTTCGGATTTGCCCATATTCCTCCTGACTGCCGGCTCTGTGGGAAAGACACCGTTAGAGTGTGGGATGGTCCAGGCAGAGAGCAACCAATGTGTGGATGTGTTTGTGGGGGCTGTGCAGCGATCCATCGGTTAAATGTGCCAGCTGACCTGCAGTGAGTGAGCTTCAACTGCTGAACACCTACAATAACTTGACTGACAGTTGTGAAACTGTCAGTGTGGTTTATTGCTGCATGTTTGTCTTCACTCTTTAACTAAGGTAAATGTTTCAGGTTTCAGTTTTATACTTGTTGCTTTGGTGTTTTAATATTTTAATAAAATCCATTAAATTTTCTCTATTTACCTATTATCAATGTGAGAGGATGTCAAAAGCAAGGGAATGGTGAGATTTTGTGAAATATTTAAAAATCAGTGTGATACACATTCAGAAAAGAACAAAAACTTGCTATGTTTTTGCTTTGCTGCCCATTTTTACCTTTAAATACACCCTCTGTGGGTCAGAACCCCCCAGAAAGGGATAACAAGATGATTAAATGGATAAGAAATGAAATTAATATTTGTGTGACACAAAATTTAAGTATGTCTTCTGACTTTACATCAAGCCAGTGATGTGATGTCACCAGTAGATTATAGTTCATGTCATGGAGCCTCCAACCACAGACATAAGGCACACATCTTTGCGTCATGGTGGCTGGTCATTCACATCAACTGTTATCTGTAAGCTAAATGTACATACTGTAAGTTTAGTACTGCATGAATAAAATACAAGAACACGTAACTGCAAGGAAACCTTTGTAGCAGCTCTCTATCAATACATATATTTTATTGTCACATTTTGAAAGGCAGTTTATCTAAGCTATCAGTATATGTATGAAGCATTAAACTTACTTTCACTGACCACATAGTTGGCTTTTTCCCCCCCCCCCCTACACGCACACACACACACGTGCACAACACAGTCTCTAGCCATAAGCTTATTTCAAGAGAGCTCATTTCTATGCATAATAATTACTCTATGTATATGTGAACACAATTTTGCAAATGAACATTTGTGCAAGGGACAAATCAACAATCACCCCTGGCTTTCAGCAGCATTTCTTCGCATCTATTCATTCTACAGCACCTGTTTCACCATAGCCTGCCCCAGTGCCCTATCATTAGGCGTGACAGGGGACGAGCTGTAAATCAGAGGTTCACACTGCTGTGCCCCATTAGCCGTTCCCGATGAATACTCACAGGCGCATATCTGGCACTACAGTGATGAAGAGCAGGCAGGGTCTTGTTAGAGCTTCACTGTCGTCCTCAGCATCAGACTGCACAGAAACACTCTCTGAGGCAACATCCTGGTTTACTGCGTTAAAGACAGGCCTCGTTTTCTGGAAAACTGTTTGATAATGTGCAGTTTACTGTGTCCTTAAGATCTGTTGCCTGTATAGTTATTCCTCTCAAGGTTTCACTGACAACACCGATGGATTTTAGCTTTTAAATATCTATAGCATCCATTTTGTATTTTATATATAAACATCCTCAAAAACCATGGCTCCTAACTTAGTAGTTAAATATTGTAGCATTTGGTCAAATGCTTAAAATACTCTTACCCCTGGTGAACTGGTTTGACAAAAGCATTTTTAATACCACAGCAAAGAATTATTGGTTAATTATGCCCTTATGATGAAATTGGTCTTCATGCCTGTCATAATGGTCATAAGCCTTGTCTGTGTCTTTAAAGAGAATGCTCCTTACACACCAGGCAGCTATTTGCATTAGAAAATAGCAATAACATTCAAATATGGGGACATTTTTGTCAGTTTACTGTATGCCTGACACACTGCATGCACTGCTGCACTATCAACAAATGAAGCTTTTCTTTTCTTTAACACAAAATGGAAAAGCTAGTGAGCTGAATGAATATCATGCCAAAAAAACCCCAACAAATCTGAGAAGTACAGCTTTTGATTTGACACGTGCATAAGATGCAAAACTTGTGGATACAGATAAGGCTGTTTGCTGACACTATAACATTCAGCTGCCTCACAGTAACAGTGATGTGTCACTCCAGTGAAGCAGCAGAGGGACCAGGAACAGACAGAACAATGTCAGTTTCTTTAGTTCTTTAGTGTACTTGAGGTTTACTTTGTGTGCATGGCACTCAAATTACATTCTGGTTTGAATTTGAACCTGTTGTTTTGAAAAAGTGACAGATGTATTAGACATTTCTTCCTATAAATCAAAATCCAGTTTTTTCCTGTGTAGATTGTGCAGACTGGCCTGCAGAGATCCAGCAACCAGATGGGTAGGACAACCTCTGTGTAGCCTGACAGACATAACCCAGGATCAAATAGGCCTAACTAGGCCCCAAAAGGCTAATTACTGCTCAGTTTTGTGAATACAGTTGACCCTAAGAGTGTATCTGCAAAAAATACACTGGCAACAGAGTAAGAAACTGCACTTTAGCACAGAACTGACATTCTCCATCTATGCTCATGCACCACAGAGTGGCACAGGCTTCTGCTGGTGGTATAGCCACCCAAATTGGGGTGTTCATAGGTGCACGTACAAATTTGTAAAGCTTTACTGCCCAAAACCAGTAGCTTTTAGCAGATGAGCTGCCCTTACTGGTGTCTGACAACACTGTTGTCAGCTCAGCAGTGACACGCAGTTATTACTGCCTGGTTAAAAGCTTTTTAAACCACAGAAAGAAATCATGTTGTGGTAACTCAGCTTTAAATAGCTTTTAATAGCTGCTGAGCTATTGACCTTATAAACAGAGTGTGTATATGTTTTGTTTTATACTTAACTGAACATAACAGCTTGAATAGGCAACATATTGATCTTTCTACTGAAACGATGACAGTCAGAATCAGCACTGAACATCTCAGTGGTATCAACAGTGATGCGTTAAGTTACTGTTGGGTAAAGTGCATTGGAATGTTAAAAATAAGTGAACAAATGAACATAGTCAGTGATATTCAAGAATCTTTGAACTGAACTGGATGAAACAATTCGAGTCAGCAAAATAATGTGTCATTTCCCTGCATTGCTGAGTGTAAGAGTGACTGAGTAAAAGGTGGACATAAATCAGTTTAAGGCTTCATGGGAAGTGACATTGTAGCAAATGCTGTGACAGTACAACAGGTCATCTGTCTGTCATCAGCCAAGTCTGATTGTTGTATTTGACTAGAAATGTTTTATTCACTCTGGGCTTAACAGAACTGAAACCACCTAATTAACAGAGTTCTTGGGTCATGATTATTTCTGTGGCTTTCACGAGTTTTCACTATTAATAGTGTCTGTCACAGCTGAACTGCCATTTCCATTTCCTTTATTTAAGCTTGTAAAAATCTTATTGAGAGTGAAATCTTTTTTTTTTTTTTTTTTTTTGCAGGAGGGGTCTGGCCAAGACGGCAGCGTTACAACATCGTTACAAACACAATAAGCAAGATAATGCCACATGCTACAATAGGCACATCTAGAGATGCATACACAGGTATCATTTGCCAGAACTGAAAAAGTTACAAATAAATAAATAAACAAAAGCATTTACAAAAAAGCACTAGTTTCAGATTCTATAAAAGTGACTTAAATTCACAACATTACTCAGCTCTCACAGTTTTAACTGCTCCTGTACACATTGATCCAGAACAAAGTTGCAGTGTATTTAAAGGCTTTTGTGCCCATCTGTCCTAACACAGCCAACCATTGTGAGAATACAACCCATACCAGATTTGATTTCTTCACAAAAATGTACATAGGAAGGAACAGCGATACGTCAAAGGAGAGATTTACATATGAAATATAATGGAAGAAGAGGAGCATTGATGCAAAAAGCTACCGATGTGGTCAGTCATACTAATAACTTAACCCACTGACTTCAGCTTAATGTTAAAGATTTGTCCATTCATGTACTGAATACCTCTAGTGACCTCCAGTAACAATATTCTCAATATGTCCTCAGCACCTGTGATGTGAACAAGACAAGTAAGTAAGCATGTATTACACAGTATAAAACAAAGTGTTAGCGTAGCAGTGACACGGTGTCATCTAACAGGTCAGGGGATCAAAGTGTCAGGAATAAAATCCTTTCTCTGAAAGTGAGTCTAATCTGTACTAAATCTTTTAAGGTCCCTTTAGTTTAAGGTCATTCTGTTTCGGTGCAGCTGAGCCCTGTCACTGGTACTGTTCTTCCCTAAACTTTGTGTTTGAAACAAAACTAGGATTACCTCACGAGTCAGGCTGTGCCGACAATCTTTCTTTAGACAATCACTTTCTTTAGTTCAGTGTTATTCACTCATGACTATATGCCCTCAGGTCTATAATAATGACAGCAGTTTTCCACTTGCAAACATGTCAGAATGTCCTTATCAAATACATTCACTGTTCAAAATGTGCCCTGAGATTGCTGACAGTGTGACATGAGTAACGCCTAAAAGCTGCAGTTTCTAGTGTCTAACTTTAACCACCTTCACTTTGGCATTTGACTGCAAACAGGAATCTAATATCTGAAGGACCAAGCAGCTTACCTTTGTATATGGATGGTAGAAGTCCCTGAGCCGTTCCCCCACAGCGCGCTAATATCTCAAACACCCCTGCTGAGCATCCACTCAGAGCTGGTGTGTAGAGAAATGAGTCTGTGCTGCGGGTTGAAGGAGACGTTATCCAGCTCAGCCTGCTGCTCAGGGAATGAGTGAGGCAGCAGAGAGAGAAGGAGTGCAAGAGACAGGGAGGGAGGGAGAGGTGGCAGATGGGAGGTGATGGTACTGGATTGTTTTTGATTGCATGGCTGTGAAAGGAAAATTGTTGGAGATGTGCATGTTATGAAAGGTTGAGGTGGGTTATAATGTGTTTGTGTGAATCTGAGGGGTCAAGGTGGTGTTGGATGTGTTACAGTGAGAATATATTTCTTCTTGTCACTGTGAAGTGTCTTCACCCGCTGAGCAGAAAAATCTGGAAAACTTGCACTGAGATAAAGACAAACCAGTTCGTAAAATGCTCTGCAGACAGGTAATCCAGTATCACCGAGTACTGTATCCACACCTCTTTAGGCTGATTTTATAATCCTAGCAACCACAAAGGTATTGTATCAATTTGTGACCTCCTGTTATCATCAAAGCGTACAACATTCACTGGTGCTGCCCTTGTCATTCCTCTGTCCTCTAGTGTCCACAAAAACTCATCCTCTGGGAGATCTCGGATGCCCACGGTGTCCTCTGTGGAAATCTGAACCCTGGCCTGGTGTCAGATTGAAATGGCATGGCGCCCAGGCTCATTATCAGCCCGATTAACCTCACTAATTAGCTGGTAATAAAAAGAAAATGGGGGCCACAGTGTGACTGGCAAATACTCATAGGTGTCCAGTTGTTCAGGTGTTGTCGCTGCCCAAGACGAGAGTACACAGATTTAATGGAGAGAGATTTTGATCAAACCCAAAATAGAGCATGCATTACAGATGCATTAATACTGCATATTAAACTTCCCATGTATTTCTCTGCAGCATAATTTAAATTTACTGAAGAAGAATCGCAGAAATGTTTCTAAAAAAAGAAGCTTACTGTCATTTAGCAACAACAGGAGCGATGGAGTGCAACACAGCAGGGAGCTGAGGTTTGCAACTGAGTTAATATTTTATTCATTGATTTATTTAGCAGTGAAGATGTTTCCTCTCACATGTGTTAAGTATTTCTGCATGAATGCAGTGAATTTACTTTAATGTTGATCTTAAATCTTTAATTTGCTGTGCACCCAGACAAATTCAGTAGCTGATTACACTGCTTTATTAATGGTAATGAGGTAGATGTGTTAAAAGTGTAAAACAAACAAAATTGTACTACTGTTCTTTTTGAGTTTTTTGTCATTCCTTAAATTTTATACAGTAGCTAATTTATGTTGAATATATCACCCAAAATAAGATAAACATGATAAAAGTTTTTGAGGGTGTTAAAAAGACTGCATCTAGCACAAGGTGCCACAGTAAATCTAAATACTCCATCAAAGCTGCAGCAGTACAGTTTTTCAGTCCTCACTCTTCGTGATTTTGGCCTTTAAAGTTCAGGGGCTGGTTTTTCCTGCGTGGAAGTACCAAGCTGTACTTCTTTCTCAGAGAAATCAGAAAAGGTCAAGAGACAACATGTAATCAAGCATAAAGGTGTTAGGTCATCTTTTTGTCAGTCCGAACTATGATGTCATCCCACATACATGGTGGAAGATAGACAGCAAACAGAGGACTCAGGCTGATATGATGGTGGCAAAGAGCCATGAATTCCTAAAAGAAAGCTTAGTCTGTACTTGTATTTGATTCATGCACTCTGAACTTTCATCCAGATTCGATAAACACCTGTGTTCTTTTTTTATTCCTTCTTTTGATTCTTGTGCTGTGCTGCTAAGATTTTTCTCACATGTTCAGGTGTCACAACCTTTTGCGTTGTGCCAGCTGTGTTTATGCTTTCTGCTCTGTCTTGTAGCATTGCCAGCTAATGTGTTGCGCTGTGATCATTATCTAACTTTAAACAAGTTTATGTTTTCTTACATCAGACTTTTACTTTGCTACAGTTTCCAGTACATGCTACATGCTTGAGCCAAGTGCAGAAAATATCCTCGGTTTTGCAAGAGTAAGTCTAATTGTATTTAAGTAGGGAACCTCAAATTCGATTTATTTGCTGTAAGCCAGTGTATGTTTGCTCTCACACAGGCCATGAGCAAATACTGGACTGTCTCAGTGATTAGTGGGTCTGAAAAACAAGCTTGAAAGCTTTTTAATTAGGCTACTGTTGATGAATGCTACTGTACGTATTTGATGGAGAAGGTTGCTTAACTTTGCTAAAAGCCTGTGGCATAAAATATAATGTGTAGCTGGAAACTAAAAAGAGGGGAGAAGGATGTTGTTGTTGTTGTTGTTGTTGCTGTTGCTGTTGCTGTTGTTGCAGGATGACGGTTCATATATTTTAGCAAAAATTGTCTCATATCTAAAAATGATATTAAATTACTGGTTGTGCAATGCGTACCAAATGATAATGTTCTTTTCTTGGTTACAACAGATGACCTACTTAGAAAACAGCATGCTCTATATAATAAAGGTAATTACTATCTTCTCCTCTGCCTGTTAATTATGTCCCGTGTTAAACATTGTGGGATTAGACCCAGTAGGCAGCATGAGCTTAACCAGCCCAGAAGGTTTCAGTGTTAATTGCAATGCTTAAAACCAGGCTATTTTGAACAACAAGCTTGTTTATTGTGACGGTATGTTGATACCATCTTACAAATACGAACAATACATTAGTTCTGGTTATATAAGGATGGCAGTGCCACTGTCTGACAGGATGGTGGTAGTTGTTTTTATGTGTTCTCTGCAGGTGGTGTTCAGTAAGATTCATTGTCTTCCCTCACCCAGAAACAAACACTGTGATTTACCGGTATGTTCCACCTCTGTTGATTTGCTACATGTGAAGGCACATTAAGCACAGCAGTGACATGAAAGCACCAAAATGAGGTCCCACTGCTGACAAACTTGGAGGAACCGAACCTGATGAAAACCTTACAGTTTCTGTACTCATCTCATGAATTAATATTCATTAGCTCACAGTTTCTATATGTAATATTTTGAAATATGGGCGACCAGAGCGTCACCCTAGCATGGCCATTTATAATTGCTTTGGGGGATTCATTCTTTGAAAAGAAGTTGAAAATGGGCCTTTTAAAGTGTAATCTACTTATGCAGTGCCTGCTACATGTGCACGGACTTTACTATTCTTAATTAACTTTGTGCTGTTGCATCAATATAAAAGAGTACTGTAGATGGGTTGTTAATTTCAGCATTCAAGTAATACATTTCCCAATACTCTGATCTCCTTTTGTGTCCCAGAGATGCTAACAAAATTGTTTTGTTTTTTGGGGGGGGGAATTATTTTGTCAAAACGATTTAAAACTGCACAGAAATAATCAGAATATAATAAGAGAGGGAAACACATGAGTACTAGTGTTACAGACAGACAGCACTATTATAAAACAAAATAAACTTAAAATAAAAAGCTGTCAGACTCATCCTGGGGTATGGGTGTTTTGAAAAGCAGGTTTAAATAGTGTGAAAATGGAAGAGGCTTAATTGGGGTCAGGTCCCACTCCCAAACTTCAGATAATTACATTATCTCCATATATAAATATTATAAATTAGTGCACCTCCCCCATGACCCCGTTCAGGGACAAGCAGTAGAAAATGAATGAATGAATGAATTAGTGCACCTTTAAGGATAATGAAATTATGGAACATAAAATAGTGACTCTCAGAGGGAATTTTTTGTCTTTTGATACTTGAGGTAATTTTGCTAATGTTGCCATCTTGTACTTAAACTACTGTTTAAAGGTTTACTTATATTGAAGAATGGTTTTGGTTCTTTATGTTGTGTCTGTCTTTCAAGCTTAGATCAGAACTGCTTGTGTTTGCAAATGCTGCTAGGATTGTGCCTAACCCCTCCAGTATCTTATTATATCACCAAAACAACATGATCGAATCACTCTCTTTGGTCACTGAAAGGTAAAGTGATACCAAACAAGGTGAAGTCTTTTACTCTCTGTCTGTCTGTCAGGTTGTGGCAGAACAAGACAGCTGTGTGGCTAGACTAATCCTCCTTATCTTAATGGCATCCAGCACTATCACAGTAGCGATGGAGACAATCGACCCCTTTCCTTTCTTTATCAGCACAAACACTTCTCTCACCAGTCCTATTGGTCCCCTCCTTCTGTCAGACGCCTGTCTGATGTTACCTAACTAGCATTAATTTGCAGATGCCTGGTTCCAGGAAAATACTGAAAGCTTGCTGGGCAACATTGCTGCTGCTGGAAAGGACAGATCGCCCATGTTTTTGAGAGAACAACACACTCACACACCATACATAAAATACACGGGCTGGATGTGTACCTTGGCTCTGGGTTATGTTCTTTGCTTTCTCATATTCCCACTGTGACGGCGACCACTCTGCTACAAGGGAGTCAAGAGAGACTTTTCAGATCTGATAAAAAAAGCAGAGATAGCTGCGAGCAGCGACCCATGTGGTAACACTAAGTTTTCTTTTCGATGCCTTGACACAGCGTGGTTTGTATTACCACAAACTCTAGTTTCCCCAGATAATTGCTCAACTGAAAATAAGTGTATGAAGTATGTTTTGACAGGCACAGTACAGCGAAACACAGTGTATTTAACTTTAAAACAATATTTACTCAGTGGTGATAGCAGAGCAGAATGTGATTCACCTTTTGTCTAATGGAAAAGCTCAAGATACAGAAACTTGATGCCATAGCTGGTAATCCTCACTTAGACAGTAATTTCTTATGATTCTTGTGTAATTTTGATACAAATCTATTCATTTGTGCTGAGCTTAAACTTCATGATTAAGCAGCACTCATTTTTTGTTCATTTCCTCTTCAGTGTTGTGTAATTTATCCTATTTTTAGTCCAAACAGTGAAATTAGCCTATTCTAAGTTACCTTTCATGATTATTCTAAAATTGTATACCTCCTTATACAAAGGTAAGAATTCAGACATTCTGGCTACATGAAACATTATGTACATGAAGATCATGTTTAAAATGTTCATACACTGTGTTGTACACCAGGCATATGACCAGGACATATGACCACCAGTTGTTACATGAAATGCATATAGGATGAAATTACCAGCCTAACATAAAGCCTTTAATTCAATGTTCTCTGTGCAGAACGAAGTGTCTTCATAGAGTGGCACTAAAATGGTCTGAAGGTGGAAGTTTCTCTGTACTCACCATAAATCTGAGTTTCACACATGACAAGAGCCAAATGGCTAGATGACTGGGTCAGAGCATTTCCCAAACTACAGCTCCTGTTCCAGGTCTGCATTGGTTAGTACCTACCAACAGTGATCTAAGGAAGGACAAACAGTGGACATACAGTGGTCTAAGGAAGGACAAACAGTGGACACGTGACAGGGCCATGGATGCCCAAGGCTCACTGATGATGTCAACTTTTAAACTTCATTCATCCTTTTGAAAAGATGTATTTTGTATATAGCGGTGACTTCATACCTAGAGTGGGGAGGCAGTTGAATTTGTCAAAAAAATTATGTCTAACTTGTCCTCACAACCAGTGTTCACCCCCTTTTACATAAGTTTTTCACTGAATGGTTGACGACACATGTTTTCTTGACAATGGAAGCACCCAGATTCACAGAAGATGCACAGTGAGCTACAGACTGACACAAGTGCCAACCCACTGCAGCACTGACTCCTGTGTACAGGGCATTAGGGACGAGGTCATAATGTTATGGCTGATCAGTTTGTGCTAATTATTTCAGTTTATTTTAATATCATATGTCCCATTTGTCTTCAAAATGCTGACATTTGACTAACTGATTCAATGAATATTGTCTGATAGATAGAATGGTACATTATGATTAAAAAGTACTGACTGACCAACAGTCAGTACATTGTGTAATTAGACTGCATGCAGTTTAAAAAAAATTTAGCTATGGGTCAAGAAACTAGAATTACAGAAGGTTTCTCAAATGAGGACAGATTCACCCCACTACAACGTAAGACCTTCATTACACATGACAAGAGGGAGACAAGGCACAGGGTAGGACACAGCAACATATCACAAACCTATCCCCAGCTTATCAAGTCACATTAAAATGCATTCATTATTATTCATCTACCTCACAACATTTTCTCAGTGTTATGTGCTCTTCCAAAAATTTGGCCACCTTTCTCTTAAACACACCTTGGGTTTCCTTAAAATAATGACATCAAAATCATTTTCTTAGGTTATATTTTTGTTGTTTATCAGACATGAGTAATTCCGCCTTTTCTTCTGTTTTTGTTGTCGATGTGTCCGTTGTCTGTGTCTAATGAACGATGAAGCGTTCTGGCTGCAGGCGGTAATTGCTTGGAGCCCAGCAGTGGGGGTGTAATTAGAAAGACAGGGAGGAGTATATGACTTCATGACTGGCACCGTTTAATGATAATGGGGTGCAACTCCACACTACTGTGGTCAACTAATCATACTTGACTGGCTTGGACAGCTCTCAGTGCAAATGAACCGTGACTAGAATAGTGAAGAGCAGCTCGCCCACACAGTTCCACACCATTCGCTCCACGGGGGATCAGACGTCTGATGATGGCTGTGACCCAGCACCACCTGCAACACTGTCATTACGGCCACCACGGATGGACAGGTTTTAATGTAAATAAAGTAAATATCAAGCCACCCATCAGAGGGTGAATATAAATACTGTCGTTGCCACTTTTACAAGCACAGATTGTCCTAAGTGCGATACAGTGACAACAAAATCAACACTTTGGCCCCATCAGTCAACATGGACATTTAATACAGGAAACCAGCAAGAAATTATATTTATAATGTGGTATAATTATAACATAATTCAGTCCAGTTCATCACTGGATGTTTAAACAGGGGGTGGGGGTGTTCTACAGATGTATCCCAATGTGTGTGAACATTTTTGAATGGATCAATTGTACCTTTGACATAAATCAGAGGGGCAAAATGTGAAAATCCATAACACTTAATGAAGTTTATCACTAGGGTCATTTTGACCCCAAACGCCCACAGTGTGTAGCTCTTCAATTACAGACATAAAACATCAATGTCAAGTCAAAATCAGTTTTAAAAGCAATTAGGAAAAGTTGTGAAATTTTGTGACGGAAGAATAATGATACACATAAAGTAGGTCTCGGGTCATACTGACCCCAAACAGAGTAGAATGGTTAAAATGCCTGGCCTGAAATGTTTTCCTTCTTTCTACCTGATTTTCTTGGCAGTGTTTTGTCCTTGTTCTTTCTGGAGCTGCAATGGTGCAGTTTAGGGCCAATTAAGTGTTAAAGGCTTGTTATTTCACATTTGCTTGAATTGTAATGTGAAGTACAGCTGAAACATCTGAATGCTGTCTACACGTTAAAACAATAATTATAAATGGACCATTCTGCGCAATTGGTACTTTTATTTATTCACTATGCAAAGCCAATTATATCAAATATAAACACAAATTGTGGCACTTTGGCAAGTTTTATTATGTGTAGTTGGTCACTTTTTATTACATGCAGGTCTTTAGTTACAGCAAAGAATAAGGCTTGCAGTATTTTATATTTTTGTTAGTATCAACAAATACCATTAAAATGCCACAACCAGCATCGGGTCAGGGTGTTAGTTCATGTCTCAGTATTTTCCAGCTTCCCCAGCCTGTCTGTGACACTTTAAATTTTTATTGGCATTCAATACTAGGTGAGAGAGAAACGGTATTTCAGTGTTCTGTATGTCCTGCACACATAATGAACCTGACAATTTTCACTTTTATTTAGATAGCCCCAAATCACACAATCACACCTGTAAACCATACAGTACTTGCTCTGTCTGTGGACCCTCAAGGAAAAACTCTTCAACAAACAACCTTTGTGAAAAAAGGAAGGATCTCTCTTCTGGGACAGACAGACATCCAACAGGTGTTGCATGTCTAGAATAGAGTATTGACAGTTGGTATTACAAAACAGATTAGAATGATTACTTTTGCACAGTACTGTAGAGGAACACTACACATTTGCTATAATGGAGTATGATTTTCATTGGACTAAAGATAAAGACATCTGTATCTGGCTTATCGTATTGTGGAGTTGGGGGTGGAGAGACACTTGACACTCCCCCAGAATGACCCTCTGGGCGGGCTGTACATAGTTATGGGTTAGCGAGGTTTTGTGTGTGTTCGTTGTGATCTCTTGTTGCTGTGAGTAATAAAATAGCGGGTCGACCGAGCGCAGAAAAGGTGGTCTTTGTCTGTGACTCCTTCTTCAATCCAGCCAGTATTAACTATCAAGTCTGTAAGCAGGTAAATAGCGTCCCCTGTTGTTCAAAAGCACGTCCTGCAGTTGAACTCTAACCTGTCTCTGTCACTTTAAGAAGAACCAGGTTGCTAGGCATGACGGGTAAAAGATTCGCAGCCAATCAGAACATTGTTGTTAACGAGTTGTTAAGGAACTGGAGTCAGGTTTAAATTACAAAAAAGTCTGAAACTTTAGCTGTTTCGTTCACCTCCAGTTTGATAAACGACATTTTTAACGTGGCATATATTTTAATCATGTCCTCCATGGACCGTCTAGACGCTTTACGAGAACGTAACAAACATTTATTGAACCAGTTGAGGCAGCAGAGAGAGAAGCTGGAGCGGCTACGCGGCTGCAGTCAAGGCCGCAAGAGGGAGAGAGAGAACGAGGCAGAGGAAAGGAGAGAACCTGAAGAGATGGTGACCCTAACCGATGGAGACCGCGGTTATGCCAGGGCCGCCCTCGCCAAACCTACTGTGAGATTTGCGGGTAATGAAGCAGTTTACACGAGGCTAAGACAATTCCGATATGAGCTGAGATGAGAAAGGACCGTTTTCCTCCAGGATGTCAACATTAGCAATATTTTTAAATCTCTGCACTAAACTAGCCCAATGAAGAAAGTCATTACAATGCAGTACATTCCTGTACAAAAATGTACGTTTTCTCCTCCTCAATCAACTGCAACAGTAAAATCCTGCCTTTATTAATTCATGATTAATAATAATCTAACGATTCAGTCACAGGGACCATTTTCCTGATTATAATTCATGGATTTTTCAGTGTGGGAGTAGTAATTTGACCTAAGTAAGGGATACTGGATACTTTCCTTCACCACTGATTTTGTCAATTTTCATAACTCCCTAAAATGTATTTCCTACAAAACAAGTTTCAAGTGAAATAACATTAAAGAAAATTAAGGTTTTCTGTAGTCAAGGTCAGATTTTTCTGGGGTTATTAAATGTATGTCAAAGGATGGATTACACAGTTGTAATGGACACAGCTCAGATGTCATAATGTGACCTAAATATACAACTTTGTTTACAAGATAAAGATGATGGATAGCTCTGGAAAGATCAATTGTTCCTTGAGTTTCAATGTTCTAATGTGATTGATGTGTTTATATGTGAATATTTTAAAATATTTGGAATGATATTTTTTATTATTTGACCATCTGTCCATGTTGCACATTTGTTTTTTGTTGTTTATTGCACCTTGCTTGTGAGCGTCCACATTCTGTGGTGTTCAAGAGGTGAATAAAGTCCTGAGTTACTGATGGAGAAATGTGTTCCTCTGTCCCCATCAGATACGTGTGAGAGACAAACAGGCATCTGGCAGACCCTTTCCACTCCATCTTTGTCCTCTGAAATCAGTGCAGGGGATGCTCAACATACAGATTCATCAGACATGTTCAAAGACAGCGACAGACATCTGCGAGTCCAGGACGGACTACAGGACATGAGGCCACCCATCACCAAGTCCTGTCTAGTCAATCAGGGAAAAGAAGAGGTAAGCAAAAGAAGCATAGTATAATCTATTCAAGCTTGTCTCTGTTTTTTCATTAGTCTCCATACTGTCAATTATTATCAGCCATCTCATCTTTTTACATCTTAAAAGAAGAATAAAATGCTCATCAATTGTGTCAGTTCAGAATAATTAATAATAATAATCTGACCCATTACAGTACAGTATGCATACAGTTATCCCATATACTGTTTGTAATTTTAATTTTTCTCTATTTGCTCATGCTCCTCACAGTATGGGGCTATTATTTAATATACAGCAAAGTATAAGCAAAGATAATAAGAAAAATGTGAGATTTTAGGACCCACTAGTGTCCACATCAAACATACATTAAGTTGCCTGAGCTGTTTTAATTTTTTGGAGCTTTTAACTGAGTTTGGGAGGACAGATGAAACAACATGGTAACACTCTGCATGTTGTGCCGTGTGTGGATTTTGTGTGAACTTATATTTTTAAGTAAGATCAATTATTTGTTTTAACAGCATTTTGCTGGAAAGGATTGAAGTAGAATATAGTGATAACTAATCCTCTCACCATTTGTTTGCAGAGGGAGGTGCGGAGTCAAGTCACATTTCAGTCTGACAAATGTGAAGAGATACCTGCCTCAGACAGACATCATTTGCAGCCCTTACTTGGATATGACTGGATAGCAGGTATGACTTACTGGTCTGTCTTTTCACCTATTTATTTCTTATACAAATAATCACGTAATGGAGCAAAATGTTTTTTCCCCTCAAAGGAGTCCTGGATGTTGAAGACTCACTCATAGAGCGATCTGACAAGTTCTTCAATGACCTGCGTGTGTTTCGATCTCTCAATAAGGACGAGTGTGTCCACAGCCCAGAAACAGAGTGAGTGCTTCTCACTTCATTGCACCTGAGACTCATGTGAGTGAAGTTTACCTGTGATTGATGGTAGCTTCATTTAATTACTATTAACTGGCTCTCTTCATAGATTTTCTGAGGAGAACCATTCGGGGCTGGCGCTTTTAACAGACAAGGGTGACCCAGAGGCCAACAGAGACACTGATCAATGTAAAAATGGTTATTTATTTGAATGCTACTGCTCTCATCTCATTTTTCTTTTCATGATAGTTGAAATAACTCTTGTCTCTAATTACATACCTCTGGTCTAGGCACATTCTCTTATAGGATTAATAGCAGACTGTTCCCCGTGCCACTTCACTCTCAGGAATGCTGTCCTGTGTGCAAAAAGCACAAGTCCTCCCACTCGCACACTGCTGCTCAACCAGCTCTCATCAGGTAATGATGATGTGCATTTAACTGCATTTTTCAACCACTTATGAACAATAAACGATATTTATATATTGGTAGTGGTACTAGCTCAAAGGCAGACCTCTTTAATTTTACTCTGACATAGACTGCCATCATCAAATAAAAACAGACTCGTGGGCGCTAGTGAGACCTTGACATTGCTTATTTATTTCTTTTTGAAATATGTCCTGATACTGAATTTATGTTTATGTCTATAAATGCTGCTGTTGTAAATGCCAGTAACAGTAATACTGTGCCATCCTTAAAAGGTGCATTAACTAAGAAGAGCAATACTGACACTCTGCCACTTATAGCTCTTAGTTTGTTGTTTTGCTTTTTTATTTCAGCTTCTCTGCCCTGTGTTTTCAAAATATCATTTGTAAATTATCCCCATCTGCCACCTAGCGAAGGTTATAATTAGGGCTGTCAAAGTTAATGTAATAATAACAAGTTAATGCAAATTCCTTTTAAAGGCACAAATTATTTGACATGCGATTAACAAATGCACATTGACTCTCGGCACCGCCTTGTAGTTAAGGAAATCAGGTAGCGATGCAGCAGCAGAAATGGATAAAGAAAAGGGTCTTTTGAATGGCAAGTTCAGCTTCAAAGCCCTGCCAAGCCTCTTAACAAGAACAAAGTTCTTTGCATTTACTCTTGATGTGAACTGAGTTACAAATACCACTTGCTGGCCAAACACACAGCTGATACAGTGAACCCTCCTCCCCCTCGCCAATGGCAGACCACACTGGATAGTTTGCAACAGAGACACCTGGACAACTCCACAGGCAACAAACCTTCAACGGTGATAGCTAAGTGGGTGGTTACAGCTTGCAGGCCGATTAACACTGTGGAGGACAAGGGTCTGTTTGAAATAATTTCCATCACAACCAAAAACTGCACATATGAATTACCTTTGAGAGCCACCACTGTAACAAAGATACACAAACTTGTATGAAGATGAGAAAGCTCAAGTGGAAGATTATGGAGAATGGCACATTTCACATTCCAAGTTTTAGAGAGTCTAAAATGCACTTACTCTTATTTAAAGGGTCAGCATCCCACGCTCCACCCTCTTGCCACCTTACAAGTACAAAGCTCATCGGCGGTGCAGCTTTGACCCTTCGGAGAGTTTGGGCTTACCATCGGTGAGTAAGCGCTCAAATGGGAACCTAATTGTTAATGTTGTGTCAGCATATCTGTGTCAAAGTTAACATAAATATTAGCAGTGTACCACAGTTTTTCATATTAATGGATATCTCTGCTCTTCTCCAGCACTGTCTCTCAGGCTGGGTTAACACCGGTCAGAGCACGCTGCCACCACCCAGCAGCCTCGACTTGCGGAGCAGTCTGAATCAGAACAGCTCCACAGGGTCACGGATTGAGGAACTGGAAGTGAGGCACTGCTGGCTTACTACTGAATTCAAACCAAAATGTTATTACAGTCTTTAAAATAGTTGCAGTTTATTCGACATGTCATAGTTCTCTCATGGTGGTTTTTATTATTTTTCAGGATCTCTCGATACCCCAAGTGTCCAGTAACTCTGACCAGATCCAAGATGTGTCACGCTTGGCTCGTCATAACTTCCAGCACTTCTCTCCCAAAAGAAAGCTAGGCAGCACATCTTATCCTGTGTACTGACAAACCATCAGTCTGTTTGTAAGTGATCACTGTAGTAATACAGAAGAGTGCCAAGAGTGCATCTGTGGTTGTAAGTGCCTGATCTTAAATCAATCTATAATATGAGATCATTTGTTTTCAATAAAATAATGTTATTACAGGATGAAATTCTAGTCAGTTTAATAAAATGGGAACCATTTACTTGACATAGGACCATATTTAATGTGGACAGGACTTGCATTTTAGTTCTTATCCTCCTTTCATTTGAATTAAAGCTTGAACAGATTGCGACAGTCTCGTGGACATGAAGCAGAGACCATGACCTCTACGCCACAGTGGAAATGGAAGACCTTTAAGTCATGTACACTGGTTTAGAATTACAGAGTGATGTTATTTTTTTTAGATTTCTTTGTAAATTTCTAAACACTAAGGAAGTCATTTTGAATCATTCCTCAGACAGCAGCTCATTGTTCCCCTACACCACTGTTTGCTTTGGAACCTAGGTTCATGCATACTTCTGCTTCCTTTGACACTTCCTCACTGTGGGGTCTGTGAACACTGAAGAATCAACAGCAGAGGTTGATGTAATGTAGAGTTTTCAATTCGCAGGAAACCATAACCTTTAATACTTAATGGAAAGTACTGTAGTCCCACCTACTGTATGAAACCTTTACCACTTTGTGAATTGCAGGCTGTAGTACACAAAATGTATTAGGGTGTGTTCAATGAAATCAGCAAAAATGATTAATGGAAAGAGCCCAGAGTGAGGGAAATGTAATCTTATTTTATTTTTTGGCATACTTCTAGTTCACCAGCAATATTTTATGAGTTCCTGGTGTCCTATTGTGTGTTGAAGCTGCAAGACTGGATATTGCTTGAACAGCTTTTTTCAAAGCAAAGCGTCAGTCATGAATTTGTTATCTGGCAGACAGACGGATAGCCATCTTAAAGCTGTGGTGCTACAGTTAATATCTTCAAAATATCATGTTGTACATGTTTTTTTTTTCATGATCTGTTCATTTTCAACAGACAGACATGATGAATCGAGATCACCGATGGCTTCAGACTACAACATCTCAGATCTAATCCAATAGCAAAGATTCAGCTATGCTCAGATGTTGAAGCAGACTTAGATAAACTTTTCAGAAAACAATATTAATGTGAAAGACACGAGGTGAATGTTATTTTGTTCACGAGTATTACCGACCATTTTCCAAAGCAATGCTGCACTGCGTAGATAAACATTGCACATCATTTTCTACCCTCAGCATTAGTTGTCATGGAAATAAATAGGATTTGAAACTGTCGAGACTGATAATTTTTATTGTATGCTAACACTAGCTTAGAGGCTGATTTGAAACGTCTGCACTGAATAACAAAACTATAAAAAATAATAATAATAACCTACTAAAAATAAAACCAGACTGTATCTTCATACCTGACTCAAACACGTTTCAGGTCTGTCATTTAAAAATCATAACTATGCTCTCGGATGTTAGTCAGCAGAAAAATGCAGTACTCAAGATGTGCACCAAAATATGAAAGGGCAAAAGGTTTAAAAAAAAAAAGATTTCACTTCTCCATGTTGTATAATACAGCAGCAAACCCAATGAAAGGATAACACTTGAAATCAGCTCAGAATTAAGTGACAAAAGTAGAAATGTAAACACAGTGGACAACAGGGGCGATGCTGTTGTACTTGAGAAGCAGAGAAAGTTGCAGGTGTGGGAGGGGAAAATTTAATATGAAATGTCAAAGTCTCAAACAGGAACAAACAAAACCAAGCACAGTAGCAATAAACTGGTCATGCCATTAGCATGTGCAGCACTGTGGAATAGTTATGAGAAGACATGTTTTGAAAACTGAGGTAGTGAGTAGTGGGTAGAGTAAACCAGTGACACTTCAGCAGTGCCAACCATTAACAGAAAACTCCGGGGCTTCTGGTTGAAAGGTGTTTTCACAAATATGCTATGTATTATGCAACTATCAGCCACAATATCCTGCCACAGGATAGATGCCCAGCAGCATAGATGAGTTTTTCTAAGCACAATCAAGTAGGCTGGTATCTGGATTATTCAAAATCTGTGATAATTGAAGCAGTATCTACAACTGCAAAATCACACAGAATTTAGCACGAAAATCACTTTAATGCAAAACCAAAAAACTTGGTCCCACTACTGCAATTTAAAATGCAAAGCCTGTACATAATCTATTATCATCTCATTCATAAATGACCTTTAATAGGTTGTATAAAAAACTAAACCGTGTAAAAGTGATTAATTTATTATGTTGCTTCCACTCATGTTGTGACTTTGTGGAAAACGTGCAGCACTGACTTTTGGCAATGAAGTAAATGACTAGCAGAAAGAGGAAGGTAACTCACTTAGATTTTCTCTTCTTGTTTATACACAAACAAGGCTTGGTGTGGAGTATCAACTGTTATAGTACTGACTCACTAAATGGCAAACCTTTCACACTTCAAACCGCTGACTACACACCAATCTCCATTTAACTAATTATGTGACACTTACTTTGATTCAAGTTGTAAAAAATGAATATATATCATAAGCACTGTACTTTTCATTTCAGCTGCAGGTCAAAAAATGATGATTATATTTTTGTGTTGTGTGTGTATATGTACAATAAATATCTTTTATAAATAAATATCCTCATTATTCATATCAGATGACTGAATGTGGGTTAGAGCTATTTCCTTCCTTTAACACAAGTCAGTTCAGGGAAACTTCATATTAGCACAGACTCTTGGCCCGCCTTTGTAAGATGAAGAGCACAGTGCACAAGCCGGCTACTGTTTCCTCTACAGTCTTTAATTTGCTTTAAAGAAGCAATGAAGGACGTACTTGTATTCCTGATTCTTCTGAATACCCAAATTATAAAGGTAAGCATTGTGTCTCTCTTTACGGCTGTCGCACATGTTTGCGCTGTTTACTGTGTCAGTGACTGGACTGGTTTGTATGGTCAGTTTAAGTTTCATTTACTTGGATTAATTCTAGGGAATGTGAAGTTAAACAAGCACTGAGTACTTTCAAAATCAGTATTGAAAAATGTGTTAAATATGTGTCATTTAACTAACATAACTTTTTTGTATTGCTTGTTCTTAAACCGAATCCCCGAGTACAATTTCATTCCTGTTAACTTTATGGAATAACAATAAAACTTCCTTGAATAATTTTAAAGTGTAAAAGCATTTATCGTTTACACATTTCTCTGAAATGCCACATGTCCTGAAAGTTCTTATGGTTCTTTCTGTATCAGTTTTGTACTGAGTGTGACAGTGTTACATTACAGTAAAAATCAGTGAAGATTGTTCTGTGACAGTGTTACATTACAGTAAAAATCAGTGAAGATTGTTTTGTGACAGTGTTACATTACAGTAAAAATCAGTGAAGATTTAATGTATGGTTGTAGTGTGAACCAGTAGGAATATTTGGTTTCAGGTCCTTGGCATCTGATGTAGTTTCAGACTGAATATTTCATTTCTAAGACACAAAGTTATGAAATTATGCAGCAACTTCTGGTTGTATCACTGTCAGTAACTCTCTTAAGTATCACTGTACATTTCTGCTAAATATGATGAGTTAGTTTAGGCGTGCAGCCAGGATCAGGAGGAAAAGGAAAAAACAATGTTCTTGTGGACAAATCGAAGCTTGCCAGAGATAACACCACTCCCTGTACTAATGGTGGTTACAACACTCAAAAAAAGCCTGTACTTTAGAACCAAGGGCCGCCTCTGTTTCCTGTAAAGCGAGAAATGCACTGCTGCTGTCAGCATAGTCTTACTTGTGCTTATCATAGGGTGCTGTGAGTTTCACATTTGTGCAGAGGAAGTGTGTGACCTGCTACTGTTTCATGACTCTTCAGCACAACAATGCTGAGTTCACTGTATTTATTATATTATGGTATGCATGTCAGAGTGCGGTCATACCTGGGTTACTGCATGAATGCTTGTGTGCAGTACCTAAAGCCAAACATTTTGGAGGGCCCCACAGAGAGAGCTACTGTAGAGGTGAAATGCACCTCCTACAAATTCAGAACAATGGTTGCCTGTTTTAACCGCACCGGCAGCAGACAGAAACATTCTCAGAAGGGAAATGGTGGGTGCAGGAGTGGGTGGTCAAGGTACCCCTTTAAGCCCCTGTTTAGCATGATGAAAAACTTTACCAGTCATTGGTCAACTTGCCTGGCTCCTCTAAAATTACTATCTTTACTGACTGGTTATGGTTAAGGCTTTTGGTTTACCTCAGAACAGATGTATTTAAAGGAAAAGACTTCTGTGTTCTTCAGTCTTCATCAGTTCAATAAGCAGATAAGGGTTGTCTTTCTTTTCAACAGGTGTGCCTTCAGCCCTATCAGCCTGACTCAAATGGAAATTGTCGTGACAGTACAACAGAATATGTGCATGAGGGACTGAGGCTGTGTTGCAAGAAATGCCAGCCTGGTAAGTGTCGCCCTGTAAACTCTAGATGGACTACAAGTTTCCCAATTAACATACAGACTTTGACAAATGCTCAGATACAGTGGGTTCAAGTATTTGGACCCCCTCAGCAGCGTCACACATTGTTTATAATTGTAAGTTTAAATGGATAAAAATGCCATTTTTGTCCATTGGTGTATACTATCAATCTCTACTCCGTAACCTTTAACGGCAAAGTGAAAACATTATAGAATAGGGGGTTTTCTCTGTCATTTAAATATACAGACGGGTGACAAATGAAAGGAAAAGCCAACAAAGTGTCGGGCCATCACATGAACAACTTCAGCCTCCTTGGCATTGGTTCTACATGTCTCTGGACTCTACTGGAGGGATGAACACCATTCTTACAAAAGATATTCCCTCATGTGGTGTTTTGATGGCCGTGGTGGTGGTGGAGACATTGTCTAACACGTTGGTCCAAAATCTCCCATAGGTGTTCAACTGGGTTGACTGGCCATGACATATGATTCACATCATTTTCATACTTATCAAACCATTCAATGACCCATCATGAACTATGGATGGGGGCACTGTCAACCTGGAATAGAACATTCATTCAAGCCTGTCCTTTAATTTGTTACCCATCTGTATGTGAAATGTGACACTATCTTGGGTAACGTTGCTGTCATTACTGGACTGTAATCTTCCCCAAATCCAGAAATCCTCAAGTCAAATCACTTGCAAGATGAGCTAGTGTACCACACTGTGGTAAAATGTTACAAATGCTGGATGCAGTAATATCTTGAGTAGCAAGCTGTCCGATGCTGGTGTGGCCAGCAGTGCAACATGCCTAAACATTGCCACTTGTGAAGAGCAGAAACACTGTTAAATGTATCTCTATTTATGCAGACATGTTCTCAGTATGACTTTTACTTTTTTCATCGGAGCTGTCCACCACATTCCTTCTCAAACTTTTAGTAAAAAAGTTAGGCTATTAAAACTGCTGATGTGTTCAAGCAATAACTTAATCTCATGCGTCTGCTAAACTCAACTCGCCCACCCAGTGTGGCATTAATTGTTTTACATCCCATGTCTCTACAGTACTATGGAGTGAGGGAGGGACGCAGTGGGTGTTCATCTGAAAGCATTTTAATAAATTGTTTATTTAATTGCATAACAGTACATCTCATGAATAAACACCTCAGCAAACATAAAATATATGTAAGCCTGTGTCACACAATCAAAATTTTATTTTGGCCTGTGATGAACAACACTGTTGTAGGCATGATGTGATAATATATTTTAACCAGGAAAATCAAGTCAAACCAAGATAAACACATGGTACAAATGTATGAGGAATCATGTAAAATTAATCCTTGAATGTGTTAGTTTTGGAGTCACATTGTGATGTTGTAGAATAATGCTGTTGTGTATAAAATGCATTGGCTAACGTGGATTAATTCATGTATATATTATTACAGGACAGCGACTGATACAATTCTGCACTGAAACAACTGACAGCGTGTGTAAACCATGTGAGCCAGAGCAGTACATGGGGAATTGGAACTATGCTGGAAACTGTTTGTCCTGTGCCAAATGTAAAGAAGGTAGAGAGCGGCACTGTACAAGAATACATGTTTATTTTACATTTGTACTGCTTCATTTTAGCTTTTATCACATAACCATCCCTGTAAACAAAACCTTTTCTATTTATAACTAGCCAAAGGTCTGCAGTATGCACATAGATGCAACTCTACCACAAATGCCAAGTGTACGTGTCAGCCTGGGAGGTACTGTATCCTGGGGTTTAATAAGCCATACTGCAGTGACTGCCACAAGTACAACATATGCAAAGTTGGTCTTGGAGTGTCTGTGCCAGGTACAGTACCTGCTATTTAGTAGTCACAGTTTGTGTTTACCATACATTTAATTCTTGCATACATTTTATTTTGAAATTAGCCATCTCATTTTTGTGAGGGCCCTGAAACTTCATGTGTCGAGTGAAATTACAGTCTGAGGAATATGATCTCTAGTATAAATGCTGCAAAGGCCAAATCACATCCAGTGTTTCACATTGATTATCAAGCTACCAATACTTTCATATTGTTGTTATATACACTCACCAGCTACTTTATTAGCTACTGCACACCTGTACAATTGTATGCAATTTAATGCAACACTTCTGCCTTAACATCTGTGTTTATGAAGCTTGAAATGTTTCAGGTTTTGGTTAAATTGTACTAAATGTATAAATTTAGTACTGAGGTCATAGTTAAAGTTGGTGTTGTACTGGACTACATTATGTTTAGACATGTCTCTATATTTTTGTACTCCCCAGCTATGAGAGTCAGAACATTATGAACACCTCTGAATATAATGTAGACCAGTACAACACTGCCTTCACCATAAACTGAAACATTTTGAGCTTCATAAATACTGATGTTAAGGTGGAAGTGTTGCACTGAATTGTATACAATGGTACAGGTGTACCTAATAAAATGGCCAGTGAATGTAGATCAACCACAACCTATCAAACTTACTTAAAACATACAGTAGCATATTACATATATACTGTCTAAAATTAAAATAAAATGTGGTTTGTGAAATTGCAGCATGTTTGGGTTTGTTTTCAGGGACAGCAAACTCAAATGTGAAGTGTGCACCATGTCTCAAAGGGACATTCTCTGACACAGTCTCCTACAAGGACCCCTGTCGGCCTCATACAGAGTGAGTGAAGGAGAGCTGCATCTGTACTCAGCTGCGAGAGACTCAGATGTTTGACTCAGATCTTTCTTTGTTTCTCTGCAGCTGTCATGGGCGGGCTGTTGTTAAAAAAGGGAACGCCACGTCAGACACTGTGTGTAAACCTGAGGCAACAAAAGAGCCTCGCACGACTGGACGTACGATGAGCACAGTCTCAGAAATCTTAAACTCCAAACCTACACGTGGACCAACAAACTCCGGGTTTTCTGTCATTCCTTCAACAAGCCCACCACCACCGATAGCACTTGGCATTACACTGGGTATGGTAACTGATTTGGTGTCACTAGCCATCATGATGCAACTCGGAGGCTTAATCTGTGTTTAAATATTTCTCTTCTGTGCTGTGTTTGCATTAACCTCTCTATTATCTACAGCCATTATCGGAGTGGTCACGTTAATTTTGCTGTTCATCGCTCTCATTCTGCTGTTCGTTTATAAACCAATCTGTAAGAAAGGTAACTATATCCTATAAAAAGGTGCATTAATCATGTTCTTGTTTTGTGGGAAAGCTATGATTGTATCTACATTGTATTTATCTTCCACTTCATACACAGAATGATAATGATCATGATTTAGTATAACATTTTCACTATCTTACTCACTGTCTCTGCATGTTTACTCTGTTTTTCCAGATGCAGCAAGACTTCATCCTAAAGTTGACGCAAATGGAAATTGTGATAGTAGTGATAAAGTGAGTTCCTTTGATTTTTCTTCATTGTTAGTGGATGTCAATTCTGTAACGTATTCTTGGCATTTTACATACATATATTGGGTAGAATTTATTAGAAACTCCTACAGTATGATTGTAATGCAGCATCATCACTACCCTAAGTGCTAAAACCCATAACTGGAAAAAAATGTAAAATAAACTTCACATTTCTGTCTACTGCAGGGCACTCAGGGTTGCTTGGAGGAAGCTCATCTGACTTTGTTCACAGTTACATCACCAGAACAACAGTGTCTGTTGGAGAGAGGGGAAGCCTGCAGCAACCACAGTCAGTGTACTATCAATACTGAAACTCTGACCAGAACAGAAGGCTCTAGTAGTCATGAGTCCATTGGCCCTTTGCAATCCACAGCAGCCCTCAACAACCAATACTCTGCTCTGTCGGAGCCCATGCCCTTAATTTCCAACAGAGAGCCTGTCATACCTCTGCCTAGCACCCCCACACAGTCAGTCATTAGCCCTGTTACCACCAGTCCCCACGTCAATGTCAACATCACTTTCCATATAGGAAATGGGTCCTGTGGCGGACAGTCTGCCATGCCAACAGACTCGATGCAAGCAGATGCAAACTGTAAGCTCCCCCTTGGAGAAGAAGAGGAGTCCTTTAGCATCCCACAGCAAGAGGATGGCAAACAGTCACTAATGTCAGTGCAGGAGAGGGATAGTTACAGTTTATGAAGTTTCACTGGCATGAAAGACTGATCACGTTTTGTCATTATACAAGAAGAAACTTAAACCTTTGTTGTACTATTTCCATATCAAAATCATACACCTGTTACTGTGTGTAAATATATGTATATACAGAATACTTTAAATAATGATGTCTGGGACACCTATGGTCAGAGGTTTTAACTTGTCTGGGGCCCAGGGACCCATTGTCTCATGTTCATGTCTGGAGCCAGGTAAGTGGCAAAATTTTATAGAAAGAATTGTTCAAAGTTTTTCTAGCATCCACACATTGATTTGATCACCACCAATTTAACTAATGTTACTATCTATGGCAAACAAGGAAGAGATATTCAAGATCCTTGTAAATGAACATTCTAAAGACTTTGGGTCAACACTATTTAGCATTTTTTAAGACTTTAAGACTTGCAGATACTCTGAGTTTTAAGGACAGTTAACCTTTTATGAACCTGTTTAAAAAAATAAAAAATCTATGAGCCCACATGTACACTGAAATCATTTTTGGTCACTGTCATAATTTCTTCTGTCCCTACAGGCCACATTCTGAGAATAAACTCAGAATTCTGAGATTAAAGTCAGAATTCTGAGTTTATTCTCAGAATTCTGAGTTTATTCTCAGAATTCTGACTTTAAACTCAGAATTCTGACTTTAATCTCAGAATTCTGACTTTATTCTGAGAATTCTGAGATTAAAGTCAGAATTCTCAGAATAAAGTCAGAATTCTGAGAATAAAGTCAGAATTCTGAGATTAAAGTCAGAATTCTGACATTAAGATTAAAGTCAGAATTCTGAGTTTAAAGTCTGAATTCTGAGAATAAAGTCAGAATTTTAAAAAGAATTTATGCAGTGGCCCTAATACTCTTCCGTAACACAGAGATCCCTTTCTAAAGTTATTTCAGTTTATGGTGGGTATGATGGGGCTAAAAATCCACAATCCCAATTCTCCCAAAAACTCATTGAAGCTATTTCTAAGATTGTACAGTCTATGTTAGACAAATTGGTGTTGTACAGTATTTTAGTAGGAAATACAGCAGAGTGACAGTAACAGTAAAAATTTGGTAGTACACTAAAACAACCTCAACTCAAGATGCACGCTTGCTTTATCAAACTGGGAGGCCTCCCACATCCGAAAGATCTGATAGAGACAAATTATGCATTAAAAGATCGTTAAAACAAAAAGGCTTTCTTAAAGAAGAGCTATGGGTCTTACAGAACACTCCAAGCTCCGTTTTCCTGCAGGCACAACATAGAATTAAGTTTAAGGCGATCTCCCTCGGTTTGTTTTTGCATCTGGTCTTACTTGGTAATCTCCTGGCGCCAAACCAAAGTATGTGAATTAGTGCTGGATAAAATCTGAAGCTCGGGCTGAGATCATCGCGATCTATATAGACAGGTACTTGCTGCTTGCCACGAACTCAACAAACAGCTGTACCCTGTCCCTCTCAAAATTCAAAACATCTGCAGCCCCGCCCACTCCGCGCGGCCCTCGTTGATGATTGGGAACCCCAACCCACTCACTTCTTCTTCCGCTACCGATAATCAGGATGTGTTCGTTTTTCCCGTGCCGGTATGCCGCTTTTTACGTAGCGGCAAGGGCGAAGAAACCCCTTTAATTAAATGTATAGGCTGCACCTGAGGCGGCGATATGGCGCTGATCTTCATCAGCTGATAATATTTTCAGAAAATAGTCTATTCTTTCATATTAAGCAATATGATGTCCCTGCTTTTGAACAGAAAGTTCACTGAGTGAATTCTGCCCCAAAGAGCCCAGAGACCGGGACACAATCTTAATATCAGCTGTGATTTTATGGGTTTTATTCAATCATGATTTAGCTCATCGCGATTCAACTGCCCTATCTGCAGAAGTTCTGATTCATAATCAAAGGTTGCGGGCTGATGGGAGGATATGGTGTCCTTATTCTGAGACCACAAAAAGGCTAAGCTAAGCGTAGCTAAGCAGCTACGGTAACCGGAGGAAGTGTGAGCCACTCCATTATTATTATTAGAAGCAGGAAATTTCATATTGTTATTTCTACGCGTCATAATCAACCAAATCACTTCATTTGTTAAAGTAAATATACATGAACACTAATACCCTTTTCTCAAAGTAGTTATGGAAACCTCCAGTTAGTTTGTAAATATCATGTTTGTTAAGCTCCCCCTCCCTCGTTCAGTACCATTGGTTCTGCCTGTTGCCGCTGTGTGTTGCTCTTCTTCCTGAAACAGAGTTGTGCTGGAGCCGTTCTTGTCGCTGCAGTGAGGCTGGTGAGTTGAAGATTTAGTTTCGATATATACCAGTATCTTCGGTTATGAACTGCCAAAGTAAAACATCTTGATCGCTCAAACAACGAATTAATAATAATTAATTAATATGTACTTTATTCTGTTAGTATTTGCGCTCTCTCATCCTCTCGCTGTGGTTGATAGTGTCGTGGTCCTGCTCGGTTATGTTTACAAATCCACCTTTTAAACAAGGTGGACCAAGCTCATTAATTAGCAAGTATGCTAACATTAACCTACAGCACAGATGTAGGCTCGACAGTTTGTAGTAAGATGGTAAGAATTAGAAAGCCCGTTCCCGAAACCCTCTTTTTCAGGGAATTTAAAGGGAAGCTTCACAACACCGGAGAAGGGAGAAAGACAGCAGCGGGGGTAATACTGCCGCAGGTGTTTCCCTGGTTGCTTGTTGATTAGGAATACCCGGGGGGGGAAAGGGATGTGGCAAGCTGGATGAGTATTGTGATACAATCAACATATTCAGGTGTTTTCTCATGAAAGGAGGAGGATAAAACTCTTATGGCTAAATAAAATGACTCATTAAATTTGAGTTTCTTGTTAAATTATTGAAGCTCCTCAAAACCCCAATTTAAAATTTTCAGTGTATTATTATGAAAGACTAACAAACCCAGCAAATATTCAGATATTATAAGATGTTATCAAAATTGTTTATGAATGTTGTATTATTTGATATAAATTAAACAGGTTAAACCCAGGTTTGGCTGCTGTTAATGGTATGAAGTGACTGCCAACAGTGACCACACTTATTTTTTTTTAGTATGAGTGTATGTTAAAGAAGGTCTCATTGAAGTCGATTTTGTTAATGTGTAACCAATGGAACCTGTTTCTGTTAATCATTTCTCTGTCATAAATAGATCAGTTCATTGAGCTGTTGTGGTCTAATGAAAGATTAGTTGCATCTTATTGTTGCTATTTATCATATTTCAACAGATACGTTAAAGTTGAAATCCCTTCTCCCACATGGCAATGAACCACTCAACTGAAGATTAAACCAAGTGTACTGTGCTCCAGAGCATTGTCTTCTTAGATGCTGTTCAGTCTTCATCTTTGCAAATGGCTTGCTGTCTGAAGGACGAGCTCCTCTGTTCCATCTGCCTCAGCATCTACCAGGACCCCGTCAGCTTTGGCTGTGAACACTACTTCTGCAGAAAGTGCATTACCGAACACTGGAGTAGGCAAGAGCCTCACGGAACACGGGACTGTCCTGAGTGCCGGAGGACTTTCGCCGATCCTCTTCTTTCTCCGAGTCTCAAGTTGTCCAACATTGTGGAGCGCTATTCAGCCTTCCCGCTGGACGCCATCCTTAACGCTCAAAGGAGCTCCTATCCCTGCAAGGACCACGAGAAGGTCAAGCTGTTCTGCCTCACTGACAAAAGTCTGGTGTGCTTCTTCTGTGACGAGCCGGCGCTACACGAGCAGCATCAAGTGACCACTATTGAGGAGGCGTACGAGGAAATACAGGTTAGTCATAGCACTGACACACTGTGACACACTGTAATGGGGAAGCTTAACATTTTCTTATAACTCATCTCACTCTGCACCACATTTATGAAGTTTCACTCATTCATTCCATGGGAACTGTTAGACAGTATTCTGGAAGTATTTCAGGAAAAGTACTGTAGACCAACTTTTGCATCACAATAATAATAATAGAGATGCATCTGAGCTTATTAGAAGCAGAAGATTATGTCTGTCAGGGAACCTTTGTAGCATGTCAACCCTTTTTCCCATGTGTACTGTCATCTCTGTACTTACAAGCCCACAAAATAGAAGAAATATGGTTTGTTTCATTGAAGAGATCTTGACTCAGCAGTGAATGAAATGAAAATGCATCTATTTAAAAAATCAGAACTCTTATACCATTCATTACATTATAAAGCCATATTATTTCATGACGGTGACTATGAATATATGCAGTGAAATGCTCAAGTTAATGTGTCAAATGTGTTTACACTGAGTCATATTTTCCACACTAATTCCATTCCCACAGAGCCAGAATCCAATAACTGTGATACAAAGCTCCTAATCTGGATCCTTCTTGGCTGCAGATACACAGAAATGCATTTCAGTCTAATGTTGTGTAGTCTGTCTACTGTTATTAATGGAGATATTCAGATCTGTTTTATGCAACATGGAAACACTTCCAGTCTTCTTGGCACACAGCAAGGTGAACTTTCTCATAAGAAACAGACCTGTTGATTGTTAACACTCAGCCATGCAGTTTTGAAGGGATTACACTCCCTTGTTGTATGTCAGAGCAACAGCTTCAGTTTAATGTTATACTATCATCTTTGTTGTATGTCCACTTTTTAAAAAATGCCACAGACACTGTAACTTGGGCTGTTACCCTATTATTCAAAGTCCTTCCTCGCTGCACAGTGTCAGTGTAGTGACTTCAGCCTTGACTATTCATTACACTGACCTTTTACGCTCTTAAAGTGTATCTTGGATAACGACAAGCTCATCCTTCCCTCACTGCTGTGAATCATTGAGCAGGTTTATGTGGAGACTGCAGCTGAATTATAAACCCTGTCTGATGGAGAAATAGTCAGACAAATTGATGAATAGCAGTCATTTATGTCATTCATTTTTAAATGCCCAACACTTTCACATATTACAGCACCCGGTGAAGACAATGGGCAGACAGTCCATTCTAGAAATAATGCAATTAATGAGGACTGGAGAAAGGAACTATAATGCCCTGATTTATTTAAAAAAATGTTTAAAGGTGTATTGTCTAAGATTTTGCACATTGTTTGATAAATCCGGTAAAAATGGGACAGGGTGTGGTGTCTCTCAGATGTACTACCCCCCTCCATGACACTCTGCTGTCTGCAGCCCTTCTGTTGTTATTCCTTATTTTCTACCCTCTGTTTTGATTGTTTGTTCAGATATCATTCCTTCCTGCCACCTAGCGAACCCTGAAATTATCTAGACATTACCCAGAGGAGCTATATATGAGAACAGAAAGCGCACTTTACCCTGCCAGCTCCATAGTACAAAGTCCACATAAAGTCAGAGTGAGCTGGGGTGAGCCCATGTGAGAATACAGCAGCATATAATCTGCAGTATTCACAGTTATTGGGCATGTTGATGATGTTCTATCATGTGACTGGTGTGAAACTGGAAGAATATAAACATCTGATGGCAAAGAACACCGGTATAAACCATATGGAATATTTCCAGTCGGTGACAATGCTTCTCACACAGACTGCTTCCTGTTGTGTGCTACATGTGTGAAAGGGCAACTCTGGACATAGTCTGGAGTTCATGTGTGAAAACGGCTCTAGCCATTTTCGCCAAAAACGTCACTTGACAGTGTGCCGCTGCACTCTGTCCCTAGCAAGTGTCCGTAATTTATGCCATTACCTTTTTTTTTGCCTTTCACTAGACTCTCTGGTGGCTAAAAAAAAATTAGTTAATGCACCTTTAACAACAAGCAAGTAAATATAATTGCATTTATTTATAATTAGCTATATTTATAGTTGGTCATAATTTAATCTGTATTTATTATCATAGATTTTAGGACAATCCACAACAAAGTAGATTGATTCCAGACCTCAGTTGCTGCTGGTATCTTAACTTTTTACTATGAAAAGGTCCACATTGTGCATCTATACAGGTTGTCATAAGCAGACTTAAAATAGCAATCAATAACTTGTAAATAGGTATATATCTTTGATCTTCATAAAAACAAAGCAGACCTTTCTTAGTGGCCATTATTGCAGCTTTTACACAACCAGTTTGTTCCACTGAGGTGTTTGGGATGAGAAAGTACAGGAATTAAATTGGAATAGAAGACAAATACAGTTAATTTAACTAACAGTTTAATATAAACATAGTCAGGTAGTTGGTGTGTTAATACAGAACTGCAGTTTATATTTCTCTGTTTTGCATTAAATATAATTAACATAGCTGTGAACATCAGTGCCATCCTCCTTAATTTCCAATCATGCTCTGAGCTGGAAGCCTGAGAAAGGTCAAAACTGTGTAATCTTGGAGCAGAAGTAATTAGGCCCAGTACAAGATGTTTCTCTTTTCTTGGACACCAGCTTGTCCCTCTGTTTGGAGCTCTTTTCAAGGCAGTGATCTGGCATTTTGTATTCTGGCATGAGCTTTGGAGGCTTCCCAGATCTACAATACTGAAAGAGTAGGAATACACAGAGGCCCCATCGGAAACAACCATGTCTCCATGATGAGCTTGGCATGCTCGCCTTTTTAGATCTACAAGTGAGGTGGTTTGTTGCGTAACATCTCATCCTTACCAGACAAACAAAAACATTAGAATGAGGCAGCAGATGGTGTTGGTTCTTTTCTGTCATGTTCGTTTGAGATCAGAAAGTAAATTAGTAACTGAAGCTGAACTTTATTTGCTGTAGGACAGAGCCTGTGATATTGTTTCTTTATCATTTCTTCTTTGTTCCCAGTGAGTGGACAGGAGCAATGTGTCAGATTCAAACAAATGTGTGAGAGCTGTGCCTGCAGGCACAAACTTCATTTTTAGCATGAAGCTTGACACTGCTTAACTAAAGTGCCAAAACAACATGGTGATGATGTGTTAAAGTGCAGGAGCAATCAGCCCCAGTGTTTTGACTGTCTGGAGCAGAGGGGCACATGTTGTGCCACCCTTGAATATGCACCTTAGAGTTTCTGCAGGGTGGGTAAGTTTGGAGATGAAGGACAAAGGATTTGGTAGATTGCGAGCCAAAGCTTGGCCTCTTTGTGTCGAATTGTTTGACATTTTGGCACATGGGATTCAAGATTGGCTTAAACTGTTTCTGATTCTCTCTGTATTGCGCTTTCTTCTTCCTTTGGTAGCATGATATAACTTGCCATTTGTGTGGTTCTGCAGAATTTGGACTTCTGTAAGAAGAGTGCACAGAGATTGGGGCTAGAATGTCTTTGGTTTGGTTAAATTGAGAAAATATTCAATCAAGTCATAATCTTGTTCTCCAGAAAAACAAACAGAATGATGCCATCTTCACCTTGTCGTTGTGACACTGGCTTTCTTTAGACAGCAGGACACTGATGACTAGTGTTTCAAGGAGGACAAAATCCAATTTCAACATCTGCAGTAGACACTCCAACTCAGACAATTGGACCAACCCCTACAAGGCGCCACCATAATACATTACAGACGCATAAAACACGGCCCCTTCTGATTATGAATAGCTGTGTGTTGGCCAAATAGTCACAATTATATATAGCACTTGAACCATAATTTCACAGTGTGTAGCTTATGCATTCAGGCTTACATTGCACACAAGCCTCAGCTCACTATTACAGTACAGTTTGGTGCTTAAAACCTTAGGTTTGATGTTCTTAAACAGGCCAGTTTCCCCACAGGGTTCAGATAGACAACACATTATATGTCCTGACACCACCCCTTTAACTGTGTGTTGACAGTATGTTTGTCTCACCAGAGTCCACTGACGAGTGCAGCCTTTGGTTAGTTTGTGTTGGGCTGTAATCTGCTTAGCCTGGCATGTCACTCCTCTGACATCAGGCCCTGAGTCTTGTTGCTGTGTTGAGAGCTTTAACTCCTGCTGATTTTCACCCTTTTCCCCATAAACACTCCTCGGCCAAGTCTGTAATTCTCAAAAACATCCAGCACCCGACCGATGCATGGAGACACACACACATCTGGCAAACATTCTCCCAATACATAATTGCTTGCTTTCCATTATTTCTCGACATAAAGAACATTAAGGTAGGATTGAGGAGGATTTGACTGTGGCTCTGCCATTTTCTTCAGGGAGCAGGGATTTCATAGGGAGCTAATGCATTCTGAGAAAGAGGGACAGCATTCAACTCCAAACTCAATGTACAAGAACAGAAAATACTCTTGATGCAAACTTCTTGAGACCTAAAGCATTCCATAGCCACAATCAGCACTAACAATCTTCCGAATCTTAATGCATGCCAAGCAGTCTTATCAGTTAAATCCTCTGTTATTTTGTTGTGAAAATATTTGCCCTGTCAATCTTACTTTGAACTCACTAATTCAGGTTATAACCACGAAGCCAGGCCTTCTTATCTGCTGAGACCCATTCGGTCACAGTGTAAAGTATGTGCTTTATGTTCTGGGAAGTAATGCCTTTATTTTAGGCAACTCTTTTAATGGTGATGAGATTACAATTCCCTCGTTCGGTCATGCTACACTTGGAGCACTGGCGCCATCTTAAATAGATGGCTGGAGCACTGTAACCCTGATGGGAGCTGTACGAAGCTGTGCACTTATTATCACACCACTGTGGCCTCAAGTTGGCAGTCAGCTCCTGCGGAGGACAAAGTGAATGCCACAGCAGCCAGCGTGCCTTAATTGTGATGATCAAGACTAACAGTGGGCTGTGTGCGACAGCAGTATTGCAGGGCTGGAGAGACTCCTGCTGCATGTCTGCTTGCCCTAGGGACATCTTCACACTCTACTTGACAGAAGTGTAAGACCAGATGAGAAAGCA